GGGGGAGGGGGAGGGTTGTTCTGACCTGTCCAGCACCGGTCAGCACAAGAGGAGGGGCGCTTCCCTTGCCTGCCTCCAGTTGCAAAGGGCTCTGCTTTGCAGGGGGGGCATCTTGGAAGCAGAAGGAACCGTGGAGATCAAGTTCAGGAAGAAAGAGCTGCTGAAGACCATGAGGAGGATCGATGTTACCTATGCGCGGATCGCGCAACAGCTGAGTAAGAGGAAGGCCAAGCCGGGCCAGCTCTCCCCCACCGCACTTTCCCTTCCCTGTTGCCGGCTGATCTGCAGCCACTGGGCCCTTTGGAAAAGTGGGGGAGCAGAGCTTCAGCTGGGAACGCCCTCCCTCCTCTTCTCCAGCCTTCCTTCCTTCCCACAAGCCTCAGGCTTCCTGGACTCCCTCCCTCCCTCCCAGACTGGATCCCTTCCAACCGGTCCTTTCTGTGTTCTGGGCTGAGCAGGTTCTCCAGATCTCTCCCAGGGGGAGCGCAAAGAATTGGAGAAGCAGCTGAAAAGGCGAGAGGACGACCTCCTGCCCGTCTTCCACCAGGCGGCCGTGCACTTTGCCGACCTCCATGACACCCCGGGGAGGTTGCAGGAGAAAGGAGTGATCACAGTAAGTGCAGGCATCCTCCACTTATGACCACAATTGAGCCCCACATGTCTGTTGCTGAGCAAGGCATTTGTTCGGTGAGTTTTCCCCCATTTTCCTTGCCACAGTTGTTAAGTGAATCACTGCAGGTGTAAACTGAGCCACAGGGTTGTGAAGTGAGTCTGGCTTCCCCACAGACTTCGCTTGTCAAAAAGAGATCACAAGACCCTGGCACACGGCGACCGTCATAAATACGAGTCAGTGGCCAGCTGTCTGAATTTTGATCACCTGACCATGGGGATGTTACAATGGGCATAAGTGAGAATTGGTCACAAGTTCCTTTTTCTTCAGTGCCGTTGTAACTTCAAACAGTCACTAAAAGAGTTGTTGTAAGCCAAGGACTGCCTGAAGTCAAGCTTGGAATCCTGGGAGGGATCTTCCTTTCCGTGATCCTCTCCCAGGGATCTCAGGGCTGTTCTTGGCTCCCTGGGCAGCTCTGCAGCTGCGGGGCAGAACTCCGGGGTCGAACCTGCCTCCTTCGCCATCTCTGTGTGACCCACCTGCTCTTCCTCTCCACCCCCCCCTCGAACCTTTGACGGGGGCAGAAACTCCTGAAGAGGTTTCATGAGATGTTGGCCATGGGTTATGCAGACCTGAGTCCTGTGTGGAGGGGCTGCGTCCTGAAGCGACCTGAGTGGGGTCTTCCGTTTCAGGACATCCTTCAGTGGAAGGAGAGCCGTGCCTTTTTTTACTGGCGGCTGCGGAGGCTGCTGTTGGAGGAGGGGGTCAAGGCCGAGATCCTGAGTGCCCACAGCGAGCTGAGCAACAGCCACATCCAGTCCATGATGAGACGCTGGTTCCTGGAGACCGAAGGCGCCGTCAAGGTCGGGGACTTGGTTGGCGGGAGCCGACTTCTCTCACCTATCTCTGCTTCCCGGCTGAGTGCAGCTCTCCCCTTCTGTCCCTCCTGCAGGGTTACCTGTGGGACAACAACCAGGTGGTGGTGGCATGGCTTGAGAAGCACCTGAGTGAAGAGGACGGGGCAAAGTCGGCCATTCGGGAGAACATCAGATACCTGAAGCGCGATTACGCCCTGAAACATATCCGGAAGTGAGTGTTTCCTTCTTGAGTGGCAGTGGGCTTCTCTGAGAGGCTCCACGGATTGCTCCCTCCAGGGTGTCAGAGCTGAACGGTTGGGATGGCCTAGGAAGAGGCCCAGGAACCCCTGAGGGCATTTCTTGGAGCTGGGAGAAATCAAAGACTCTGCATTTTCTGCTTAAACCAGAGTGCAGGATAAGTGCTATGACCCTTGCTCTCTGGGGATGGCAAGGCTTAGGCCACCTGCGTTGCTTCCTTGTGCAATATGTGAAGAGGAGGCCATAGGCAAAAGGGCCCTTAAAAGGCTACTGATGAGAGAGGGAACTCTGGGTCCCTGGACTCCACCTGCACAGGGGACTCTGGTTTGTGGAGGCGACGGTTTCAGTGTATTATATGCTCCTCTTTATTGACCCTCTCGCTTCAATTCGGCAGCCTTTGCTTCCTTCTTGAAATAGTAGTGAGCAAAACCACCGGTTGAGTTTGTGTCTCACAAATTCAGAAGAGGAAAAAGGGGCTTTTTTATATTCAATCCTGGTCATTGTAGTCTCTCTTTATGATCTCTTCCAGCTTGATAGAGGCAAACCCGGAGGTTGCCATGGACTGTATCATTCACATGACCCAGCACATCACAAGCGCCCAGAGGGCTGAGGTGGTTCGCCTCCTGGCAACTATGGACAATCCTTCCCCCTCTTGACTTGTGCCCCTGGCAGTAGGAGAGATTACCAGCCCCCTGAAAAGGGAAGGAGACGGCAGTGGTAAACCATCCCAGTTTGTGAGCTCCGTCTGGCTGCAGCTTTGCAGCACGGCCCTGCTTTGTCCTGGATTAGGGTGGCCAGAGTCTCCCAGCTCCCAGGATCTGCTGTCCTGCCACACTCGGCGGCCTGTATTTTCCCCAACCGCCTGTGTGCCCACTGCATAATGTCCAAGGAAAATGTTTGCACCACTCAGTCTAGAATGTATGTTTAAAGTAAGTGCATTTTCAATTATTGCCCAGGGTTATCTGTTGAGATAAGGAATTCTCTTTCACAAAACCCCTCAGGACACGCTTTTTTAAAAATATGCATTGGTGGGTGAGGGGTGGGAAATGTCAGTATCTACCACCCAGCCAATACTTGGGAAAATTTCCTGATAGGCCAGAGAGACAGGAGGCTGCTTTGCCCTCCAGCACAGCTGTCTAGATTAGCCTGCCCACTCCCTGGAAGCCTTGGAGAAGGGGGGCATTTCTGACTGTCGGCCTCAGGAAGGAGCTTCTCCCTTTCTCTCTTGGAAAGGTGAAAACAAAAGGTTCGCTCCACTCCCCTACAAGCAAGGTATTTGGGGTTCTGTCACAAGTCCCCCCTTATTGTTTCTTCAGAAGGAAAGGGGAGGGGGCTCCATCCTCATTCCTAACTGGCTGAGATGTCCGGTAGATGTGATATAAATGGAGATAGTGGTGCTATTTATTTGTGGAATGAGTGGACTTTGCCAGAGGCGAAAACAATCAAAACACACTTTTAAAGAGATAAATTATCAGCAGGCCGAAAGTATAATGGGCTGTGAAACATCAGATGCACAAAACACTTTAACACGCACACACACACACGCACACACGCACACCCAGTCTTTTCTGAAGGAGACCTGGGACAAAGGAGGTGACAGCTGAAGGTAATTTACATTGTCCGGCATATCTTTGCAGGCCGGAGTTCTTGGCAGGTCTACTAATCCTTCATGGGAGTGGGATTGTCTCTCTACCTCTGGCATTAATGCTTGAGTGCGTCTGGTATGGGACGGGGCTCCCCCCCCCCCAACACAAAAAAAAAAAAAAAAAGAAAATAGGGTTATAAACTCCTTTTTCAGGGGAAGAGGAATCACTTAACAAAATCTTGCATTTTCTCTTTGGGAGAGCTGTTCATAAATCTGTCTTCTCAGGGAAGGGAGGCCTCAAAAAGCCACTCCAAAAAGTTGTTGTTTTTTTTAAGAAGAACAACTCTTTGACTTTTGATAGACTTCAACGTTTGTTTTATCTTTTGTGAGTTGGAGATTCATTAAAGTAGTCTTGGTTTTCTTAACGGTCCCAGTTGTATTTCTTCATTCTCCCCCCCGCCCCCTCCCCCCCCAGGAAAGATGCAAAATTGCTCTCTAGATCTGATGTGCCAGTGTGGAGGCCGCCGCCACCTTTTAGCCGTGTGTCTCTATCAGTAACCCCTCTTTATTGTCGTTTGTTTCCATACAAAGCTGACCGTAGTAAATCATGGGATGATCAGCCCATCAATTCATCAGAACTAAAAGTACATTTTCAAGGGGAAAGTTTTTCATAAACCATTTCAACTTCCGCCTGCGTTTTGCTTTTCTAGCCTCCTCTGGCATGACAATGTCTGTAAGTAGTCTTATGTTCACCTTTTTTTTAAAAAAGAAAGAGATACCTCTGGAATATTTGTGTGAAACGGGTTCCTGAAGAACAGCCTGTGAAGGTCATGTGGTCGGAGTCACACCCGAACTGCTTTCTTCCAAATGATCCAAGCTACAAGCCAGTCCTCAGGGCCAGCTTTAAGCTAAGGCCACGTAGGCACTGGCCTGGGGGGCACCGGGGTTTAGGGGGCACCACCATCAGCCCTTCTTCCCAAAACAAAGGCTGCTCTAAGAATGCATATCTTCACATTGGCAGGAGGGGGCGCCGTTAGACAAACTGAGGTAGGGGGACCCTCTCCCCTTCAGCCAGCCCTGCCTGTACATATTGGCCTCAGGGAGGGAGGGCCCTGCCTGAGTAAACCTCTATAAATGCAAATGAGTCGTAACCTTTTAAGAAGCCAGTAGGACTCTTCCCCGTTTTTTCCCCCAGGCAGAGCAAAAGCCAATGTGGTATAGCCAGTTCCTGATCTCTGCCAAAATGCAAGAGAAGGCTATAGTGCGCCAGGGGAGCTTTTGGGTCCCTGGGGAAGGTTGTGGTGTGAGCTGCAGCCCCTGACGGCAGAGGGTTCCAGCTCACTTGGAAGGCCTGGGGCGAAGAGGAGGGCTCTGCTGGAGAGAATGGAACTCAGCGCCACTTGGCTAAGATCTCCAGCGCTACCTGGAGGGTCAAGAGGCCGTTCTTTGCACCTTGAATTGTACGTGCAATTTTCTTGAGCAATATTGTTTGGCCTCTTTTTTTCCAAATGGAATTCTGAGGCAATAGAAGGGATTATTTAAATCCTACAGTAAAAAGGTGTTTAAAAATAAATATTAGATCAAAGTTAACCTGGTACTGATAGCCTAAATGCTAAGTCAGAAGATCTTAACTGCAGTGTGCAGCGTCTCCTATTAGTGGTCCTTTTTAAAACAAAACAGTAAACAAAGATTGCTGCATGATATATTTCTAAGTAAACATTCAGGGCTGAGCTGCAAACAAAAATAAAATAACCTTTTTATGTCCGTTGTAGAAAAGTTTTCTGGCTGAAACGAGGTTTGATCTTTCAGAGAAAATGTTACGTCTGCAGTAAGTACATCCAAAGTGCTTCTCTTGAAAGTGTAGTTTAAAAACGTCCAAAGTATCTTGGTGATTTTTAAAACAGTTTGCTGCAGTTTGAATAATTAAGTAAAAAAATATTACAGTGTTTTTCAAAAGTCAGTGCTGAGCATAAAAATCCCCTTTTTGTTTTCATAAAAATAAATTATAAATAAAATTTACAAACAGTAATACTGCTTAGCCCGAGAATCAACAGACCTCCTAATCCTAAACTCTAGTAATTTTTTTTCCTCAAAAATCTGTGGTAAACTCAATCCTAATAATCTATTCAAGGTTTTTTTTAAAAATCTCATTTAGTACATTATTTGTCCTGGAGCCCAGGCCCTTTTCTGCTCTAGCTATTAAAAACATCCCCTTCTCACAGTCTGAAATCTTTGCTGTCAAAGCACCAAACCGGGTTAATGGTTTGCAGGATTCAGCTCCTGCGAGGGAAGACGGACTGAGTCAGTATGTCTGGGACTAAAATTTATCTCTCGCGCAGAACGTCCGAGGCCTGGAAAGATGATTTTGGGAGGTAGACAATTCAGGTGTGAATCTGAAGAAAAGATCCCGAAGTACCTCTGGAGGAAGAGCAGCAGCGATCAGCAACTGGAGCTTAAAGGGGCTCGGAACTATTTCACAGTACTTACCAGTAGGAAGAGAGAACAAGTAAGAGCTTAACAAAGACACAAAGTCAGGGGCATAGCCAAGACCAAGCCCCCCTCACACACACACCCCAAGTGTCCCTGTGAAAGCAGTAAAAGGAAGGGGCCGGCTGATCTAAAGCGCAAGAAACCATCTTCTGATAGGGACATTGAGCAATGGGTGCTTTGATTACCGTATTTTTCGGCGTATAAGATGCACCTTTTTCCCCCCTAAAAGGGGATGAAAATTTGGGTGCGTTTTATACACCGAATGGGGAGCCCCGCCCACTCACTGGCCCCCACCCTTTGGCCTCTGCCTCCCAGCAATTTACCTCCTTGCAGCAAGCAGGAAGCAGAATTTCAGCTTCAGCACAGCCTAATTAGCACAAATTGATTGTTCCTTGGATCGGCCTTCTGACTCTCAGCTGTTTCAGGCTGCAGGGATTGACATTGCCTATTGCTGCGAGGGCCTCTGCTGCTCCCTGCAAGGAGGTAAATTGCTGGGAGCAGATTTTTTTTTTCTTGTGCTACTCAAGCTATGCTGAAAACGAAAATGAAAGTAAAGCAGGCTATTTGCTGTTTGCTGCAACGAGGCAAAATTGCTAGGAGGCAGCTTGCTTTTTCTTGTTTTCCTCACCAAAAAAGGTTTTATAGTCCGGAGTGTCTTATACTCCGAAAAATACAGTAGCTCAGAGGCCATCAGGCACCTAAATAAAGGGCAATTATGAGCACATGGGGAGGAGAGTGTGTATTTCCTCCTTTGGATCAAGTTAATTTAAATTTTGTATTCCCTTTTGATTTAGCTGTTCTGAGAATAGCTCCTTTTTTCCCCCTTGCTGCCTTCTCTCCCCCTATCTCCAAAACCCCTACAATAAATTAAAATTTTATCTAGGTTTTGATGGAGAAGCAAGCTGCATGCTTCCTACCAGTCGGGTAACAAAATCAGGTCTGTGTCAAAGCTGCTCACTCCCACCAGATTCCTTAATAAAAGGCGGGCTTCGTCCTATGCCTGCGGTCTGCTTTCGATTAGCGTTCTCGAGACCATAAGGTACAACATTGGTTGATGGGCTGAAAATGGAGGAGGACTGGTCTGCGCACACTCAGCGTGGCCCCCACAAGGCCTGGCACTCATTTGTCGGGGGGGGTGGAGGAAGAGGAGGGGGGAGTGCGAGCAGGACAAGGTGGCCCAGTCCAAGCGTCGTGGGGCTTTCAGAGCAGAGCGATGGGTTTGTTCCCTTGAGGGCTCCGGTACTGTGTGGGGGAGACGGCATCCAGCGTGGCATAGGTTGTGTACAGACCCGTCACCTGTAAGTCTGCAAAGGAGTGGTCGCTGGCACAGGGGGCAGGGGGCAGGCTGGCAGGCGCCAGGTCGCAGTCGGAGAGCGCCAGGGGAGAGTTGCTGAAGGCCCCCAAGGCATCCAGGTTGAAGCTGTCGTCCTCCTTCTCCTCCCAAAGGTTCCCTGCCACACAAAGGAAATAGTGGTCAGATGGGACTTAATTGTGCAAATCTGCTCAGAGCATTTTAGCTGTGGGACAGACAAGGGCGTTTTCCGCTTCCAGACTCCCCTCTTTTCCTCCCCTGCTGTTTGGCTTTCCGGAGAAAAGGAGAAAAATGTGGTTTGTTTTTTCCCAAAGCGGCTTTGTGGCTGGTTGCAGGATCTTGCACCCTGGGTCAAATGCTTCAGTCGTCATCTTGACGTGAGCAATTAAGGTCGGACCATATCAGTACCTGAAGATTTAAGCCTAGCCTCTCCCCCAGGTACCCCTAACCAGGTGCATGTAAGAGGAACAAAAGGAAATCGTAATGTTAGTGCCAGAATATTTCCCTCCATAATCACATTTTCTGGACCAGCCCTTAAAAAGACCTTCAGGTAGAAAAGCCGTCTACACCGCCACTGTTTCCTTCTGCAAAAGCAGCTGGAAGATAGATGGAGGCAAGGATTCCTGTGGGTGAGGACCCCTCCCCACAGCTTGACTCAGCTGCCGGATTTTAAAAAAACCCTCTAGTTTCAGCCCCTCCAACCTTTTACCTTGGAGCGCAAAGTCCATAATGCTGGGATCGAGGGCATCCACCTCCGTGTTCAGGTCCGTCATCACGTTGAGAAAATCGGAGCCCCGGCTCACCAGGTGCTGAGGGAGAGGGCTGTGGTGGACGCTGGGCAGAGCGTGAAGGGGGGGCGTCTGTGCAGGGGCCGGCGAGTCTGGGGCCAAGCACGCCTGGGGCTGGATCTGCCGGTGAAGCCGGACGGACTGCAAGGAGAGTGTCGCCATCGCCTGGGGCTGCACCTGCAGCAGGTGGCCCCCATGGCTGCCCATGGACGCTTCGGCCTCCGCCAGCTTGCCAGGCCTCCTGCAGCCGGCAGGGCGGTCGGTGATCAGCTTGTCCAGTTCCTCTGCAAAGAAAAATGGCTGTCTCAACTTCCTCGCTGGGCAGGCGGAAGGAAAGGTGGTGACAACAGTCATTTGCATGGCGGGTTTTTTTTTAATGCAATACAGGTGGTCCTTGTCTTACGACAGTTGGTTTAGTGACCCTTCGAACGGCATGGAAAAAACTGACTTACAACCGTTTTTCACACTTATGACCGTTGCAGCATCCCCACAGTCACGGGATCAAAATTCAGACGCTTGGCAACTGACTCGTATTTATGACGGTCACAGTGTCCCGGAGTCACTTAATCCCCTTTTGTGACCTTCTGGCGAGCAAAATCAATGGGGAAGCCAAATTCACAAAGGTCATACAATGAGGCAAAACTCACTTAACAAATGTCTCACTTAGCAACAGAAAAACTGTGTTGCTCGGTTGTGGTTGTAAGTCAAGGACTAGCTGTACCGCCACCATTTTCAGAAGGCCAAGGAAGCCCTGAGAAAAAGGAGGGCTGCTTTTTGAGAGGGCCTTCCCCCCAGTTTTCCTTCCGGTCAAATAACTCCTGTAGGAAGGCAGAGGAGGGCTGCCCTTACCTGGGTTTGCCATGCTCCTGTGAATGGCAGCCAGGTCCTTCCGCTTCCACTTCTGCATCTCCTCCTCCATCTTGTCTATCTTGGCAGGGTTGAGGGCCCAGAGGCAGCCCTTGCGCGAGGAGCTGCTCGCCTTGTTCTCCACTTTCTCGAAGCACTTGTTCAGGGACAGGTTGTGCCGCACGGAGTTCTTCCAGCCGTCGGGGGCCGTCTGTGAAAAGCAGGGGAGCCCTCACACGCGCCCCCAGCACACGCACGCGGCTTAGAGCCCCCAGGTCGGGGTCTTCTCTGACAAAACATTAACCTCATAATCTTTCATGCAGTGGCGAAATCCAATTTTTTTCCCTACCGGTTCTGTGGGCGTGGCTTGGTGCGCGTGGCAGGGGAAGGATACTGCAAAATCCCCATTCCCACCCCACTCGGGGGCCAGCCAGAGGTGGCATTTGCCAGTTCTCCAAATTACTCAAAATGTCCGCTACCGGTTCTCCAGAACCTGTCAGAACCTGCTGGATTTCACCCCTGCTGTGGGGGGCCAGAACCTGCCCTGTGTGCTGTGACCCCAGAAACCCTCCTCCCCCTTCACCCGTGGATCTAAACGTGGATTCGATGCTTGTCTGGCCTACGAGGGAATCATTAGGAGACCCGTCTGTCTGTCTATGGAGATTCCTGTCTGCATTTCTGCAGGTAGAGCCAAGTTGTCGTGTCTGCCTGAGAAAAAGGCATTTAAGGTCGTGAGAAAGCTAAGATCCCCGTGAGCTGGAGCTCTGGTCTTACTCAGTGGAGACCTTCTCCGTTCTTCAGTGGGGGCTTTTGACAGCCAACACTCTCCTGCACACACATCCCTCCATCGGCCCACCGTGGGTCTCGGTGCCTCCGCCGAGGGCTCGGGAAGGGCCGCTGAGGGGCCGCTCTCTTGCACCCGGTTGTGCCCAGCCTTCCTCACCTTAAAATAGGGGAAGTGTTCCTTCATGAAGCCGTAGATCTCGCTCACGGGGAGGCTGCCGGTCTTGCTGTTCTTCAGGGCCATGGCGATCAGGCAGCTGCCGGAGGGAAGCGAAGGGTCAGTTGCCCAGCTGCCTGCAGCGCTTCCGGACCTCAACTCCACCCATTTAAGGCCTCTCCCGATAAAGTGGGGGTTCCCTCCCTGGGTCGTGGGCCCCGGACTCTTACTCACCTGTAGGAATAGATGGGCTTGGGGTAGTGCTTGGTGTGCAGCTCTTGGGCCGCGTGAGGAGCCAGGCGGGGCTGAGAGAAGTGGGGGTGGGCGCCGTAAGAGCTGCTGTAGATGGTCACCGGATTGCACTGTGGCCGAAGAGGGAGGGAGAAGACCCAGTGAGCCTCTCACAGGGAAAGACGAAGCGGGGGGGGGGGGGGGGGGGGGGGAGGGGGGGCTGGTGGGCTGTGGGGATGTGGCCCATTCCTGCAAAAGCTGCTCGGGACCCCTCAGAGCATCCACCCACCAAGGCAACCATCGGCAAGGGGCTTAGTAGCCCCCACATGTCATTTTACTCTAGTCTAAATGGAGGGGAGTCTGGACAGCCGTGGGGAGGGTCCACCTGCCCCTGGCCTGCCCGTTCTGCAGTTGACTCTGGTTTTCTTAACAAGGGAACAGGGAGGCGTCTGCACAGAATGGAAGCCTGCCTCCTTTTCAGCTGCGCCAGGGAAAGGAGAAGCAGGCGATGCCCTGGGCGTGGCTAGGAGACCCATCAGCCTCAGCCGGTGGAGAGCAGCCCAAACCAAAGGCCGGGGGCCTCTGTGGCAACCGACACCCTGGCTCAGCGTCCTCCTTGCTGGTTGCAGAGACGAGAGAGGGAAGACCCGCTAGGAGACTGGCCTTCAGGTGCCCACCCGCCCTCCTTCACCTTTGGGCCCTTTTGCCCACAGATGAAAGGCTTTTCCTTGCACTGCCTGGGTCTTCTCAGATGTTCTGCTACAAGCACACATGCACAGCAGTACCTGCAGCCTTGTAGACGTTCACACAGGACAGCAACTAAGTTGTGGCGAGGTCCTTGAAGGTTGTGCTGTCACACACACACACACGCATGCACACACACACGGAAGCTGGGAACCGTACCTGCTGCGTGCTGTGCATGATGGTGAAGATCTGCTGGGTGTGGCAGGAGGGAGGGGGGAAGAGCGGGGACGGCTGCGGCTGAAGGCTGGGGGACGGCTGCCCCCCCACCACGTACTGACTGATCTGGGGTGGAAGGGGGAGAAACAAAAGCATCAGTTGCGCAGGGCATGAAACAGCCCTGGGGCCATTAACAAGGAAGGGAGCCTGTTCTTACGTCGCTTTCGTGGGGCGAGATGGTGTTAAGTCCCAGAATATTTGGAGACACGCTGGCTTGTATGTGAGGCGTCGCTCTTGGGGGCCCCGAGGTGTGCATGGCACCTGTCGTCGAAAAGAAGCAAATGATACAGTTCTGGGCTGCTCTGAATTCCCCCCCCCCCAGCTCTCTGTGGGATCCACAGGCTTGCATAGCCATTGATCATCACAACGGGGCTTATTAGACCCAAGTCAATGCTGGTTTTACACAGTTCAGTCATTCTTTGTGTTTTAGCCACTAGGTATTGCAGCACTGTGGGGTCAATGCCCCGGGGGCCCGAGAACGAAAGGGTCACAGAGTTTTCTACCTGTCTGCTGCAGGGCCACATTCTGGGAAGCGATGCCAAAATCCATCCTTTCGCTGGTCATCTGCTGCAGCCGAGGGACGTCCACGGAGGTCAGCCACGAAAGGGACTGCAAGTCGCCAGGGAAGTCATCCTCGCTCAGATGTGAGGGGTCAGAGCCCAACAGTCTACGGAGGAATAACGTGGTTTTAGTGGCTGCGTTGCCCTGGCCTGTTAGCCTGAAGGTAAGGCGGCAACAGCAGCACCTGTTCTGACTTTATGTTTTTATTCCGGCTGCCAGCAGGCTCCGTTGTATGGGGCTCTCGTTCATAAAGCAAATTTATGAAGGAGGAGAAAAACTTTCCTATCGTGCAGAGAAGGAGAATACTTAAAAGGCCTAAAGTTAGAACACCATGCACCAAATTCGGCTTGAGAATAAAGCCGAATTTTGCAGGTTGTTTCTAAGACTCCTGTTTCTTCTCCACCAAAGTCATGTTAACTCCAGGTTCATGTGGCGCTCGGAGCCTGCTGGAGTTGCACAACACAGCAATGCCAGAAATAAATAATTTAAAATAATGAGAAGGATTTAAAACGAATCTGGAATATTACAATGCCTTCTTTGCATTTCCCAAGGCTTTGAAATGCTGTCTCCAACCATCTAGCTGCAAAGCAAAACTTCCCAGTTGAAAACTTCTGGGCAGTTTCCCTCCCTTCTCGGAGGCTTAAGGGACTACAAGACCGATCGCTGTTATAGCAGCAGGCGCCCGGTATCCTGGCTAGACCCGCCTGTCCTCCTGCCACCCTCCTCCGGGGCCTGTTTTCTTTTTAATGTCATGTATTGATGTGGCAATAACCAACATTGCCATGGTTACACTTCTACAGTTATTTTGCAGAGCCAGTCGAGTCCCTTCCATGCCTGCAAAAGGACATCAGGTGACCAGTCTGCCTGCCCGGCCATTGGTCCAACTGTAAGTAAACACCAGCATCAGAGGGTTCAAAAACGGGGAACAACCCTTGTCATTTGCAACAGTTGGTGGCCCTGCGCATTGTCAGCCCATAAGCCATTGTGTGGGGAGAGGCTGTTGGCTGCCGGCACGTGGCGACCCTTTGTTTTTGGAGATCCTGGCTTAATTGTTTTCTTCTGCCCACCCCGCCTCCCTCCCCCTTTTTACCAGTTCCCCATTAATCTGCCTGAATGATGGGAGACACTCCACCCGTGCCATCTGCCGCTCTCCAGCCCCGCACAACAAACGAGTGGGGTCAAGGGGGCGGGAAGGGTCGAAACCCACAGCAATGGCCTCCTGCCAGGGACCACGTGCACCACAGGCCCCCACCGTCCGGTGTGCTTTGGCACCTTCCTGGGTGGAAGCTGAAATGCACCCGGCAGCTTCAGTCCCTGGTTAGGTGCCTGGCTGCAGCCTCAAGAGCTTGTTGTCAGTATTCACCACACCTCTGGGCACCTGGTATGTGGCAAAGAGAGAGAGAGAATCGCACCCTTTTCCCTAGCAAATGTCCTGGCATCTGTGCCCTGTGCCACATCTTCCACCAAGTGGCACCCTTGTGGAGTTAGCTGGATGTTGAAAATATGACTCTGGAAAACAAATACTCCTCTTCTTTACAAACTAGCTTCCTCCTTTAAAATGGCCCTTCATTATTTGTCTTAATTCTCTGGAGCTCGGTATGTATAGGAAAAGTTTGGGCTTTGGAGCAGCTCGGCGTCTTAATGCTGCCCTTGAGAAAATAATCCCATTTTGAGGAGGGCTGTTCCTAAGAATTTCCGCGGATTTTTTCCTGACACAGCAATAGCCGTCTCTCCTGACACTCATTTAAATCAATTGTGAGCCTGATTAGCAGACTTTATCAGATTTCCCCATAGAATTATGGAAATGGAATGGATGGGTTATTTCTCTCCCTGGGAGATTTCTTGCTCTGATTATTTACCCCAAGAGATTTGGGACCGTTTGCCTGCCTGTTGACAGCCGATCCCTGCCTCTTCATTCTGTCCTGCTAAGGGAGCCCTCCCGAGGGGTGGAGGGTGGGGGGGAGTCGGCAGAGAAGTCTGCTTGCCAGGTCCATCAGTTGAAACCGGCCGATGAGCCCGAGTGGTGGTGCGCCTATTTCTGAATTTGCTGCAGGTGAATGGTCACTTTAGCTTTACACACACACACACACACACACACACACACACACACACACACACACACAGAGCCTTTTGGAGGATGAGAGCACCTTGTGTTAAGGAATGCGTTTTTAAATCTAAAATGCTTGTATTCTCCATTTATCCTCTTCCACACTCCAGTTAGAGACGGACAGCCTTTTCCTGATAAGTGGTAGATTAAGAAGGATTGTGCTCGGGTCACTTATTCAGTGCTCAGCCGCAGCCTTGCCTCTAACTTTTCCATGCGCAGGTAATGGTGCTGTGCTTTCGGCTGGGCAGAGGGACCATCTCAAGCCCCGACCCCAACCAAGCCATCCAGAGCAGCCTCCGGCGGAGCTGGCTGAACTGCGCTTCTTAGCTGCTTCTGAATGCTGGAGAGGGACAGGCAGTTCCCCTCAAAGCAGGCCAGCATAGCCTTTCAGGCCACGGAGGGATTACAATCCTTGGCTGAATTAAAAGGCTCGGTTCCGGTGGCGTTTCCTTTTGAGGGTCCCTCCGTTTTCTCACCTGGCAGCCCACTCTTGACGGAGATTATCCCCAGTCCATTCTCTTTGCTAGGACTCCCTGGAACATAGGCTCTTTAATCCCTCGTCTTCCCACGTTTTGATTTGTCCCATTGTGGTCAAGAGAGATCTCAAACTGGAGTCTCAAATCCTCCAGGAATCTCCGATGGGCTGCATAGGGACCTTTGGAGCAGATTACCCTAGCAAAATTGGACTCGCACCCATACGAACGCCCCAGCATGGCTCCTCAGGCCGTTTGATAACGTGCAGGAGAAAAAATGCAACAGGCCTATCCTTATGAGGAAGAACGCAAGGATTGCTAAAATTTAAGCGAGATATAACAACGAGCCTGGCTGGACTCTGCCTCTGGCCATCAACTAGAGAAGTGGTGTTTGCTTCCACCTCCATTTCACTTGGATTCAGAAGGATTCTCCTTAGAATGTTCCAGAACAACTGCAGAGTTACCAATTCTGCAGCATCCCAAGTCTGATCAACTGAGTCGCTCTTAGTCTACCCTGGCCAAGAGCCGATCTGCTTCTCTCTCTCCTTCCTCTCGGTGGCTTTTCTGCTTCTGTTTTTTAACCCTGACTTTGAAATCCGCTTCCCTTCATGTCTCCCAGCCCCATAGAAATGTCCCAAGTGAAACAGAAGCTTATTCTCGGCACAATTACCCCTCCCTTCCGCTAATTGGGGGCCATTCCTTTATGCCCCCCCCCCCCCCCCCCCGGGGCACCCAGGACCCCGGGTTCCCGTCCTGCACTGTGCTGACAGGAAGAAAGTAAATTGACCTGATAGAATTTGACAGGCCTATTCTCTTCTTAAAAATCGGTCAGTCTGGAAGATTTTCTTTTACATAATCCAAAGTGGTTTCTCATGAAACAGAACAAATGCTACAGCGCACTTTGGCCATAACGGTCTGGATTTTGTATACATGTTTTGCCACTTTTAAACGGGGTCATGCAATTCAGGGGTGGAAAAATGACCGCGGTGAGAAATTACAGCTTTATTTTTGAGATGGGGGGGGGGGGAGGAACAAGAAGAATTTGGGAAACGGGTCTATTTATAGAAATAAGCATTTTTGCAATAACTAACGTGACTTGTTAAAGACTGCCTGAAACTCTACATAAACTAAACTATAAGTGTCTTTTTTTACTTAGAAATAACTTAGACTTAATCTGCCGAAGGACTGCATATTTGATCTAAGCAAAGTTATTCACGTTCCTTATGCTAAGAATTAAAAATTCTTGCCCACGTAATTTTCAAATTCCATTTATTCTTCCAAAAACTATTCTTATCAAATTTGGCAAGTGCAGATAATTTACAACCTGCACTTAGCAAATGGGATTTCTGTACAAAAGGGAAGGAATTGTTAAGGGCAGTCTGCATAAGTTCACTGTGGAAGATCTCTGTGTGTAATGGTGGATACTGTTGCCATGACCGCTTTGGGGGGGTTGGACCTCTTGCGATGGGGAGATTTCAGATCAGGTAGACGGGGGTCTTGAGTCTGCCGGCTCTAAATCCCTCTTGTTCCCCTGACATCTTCCAGAGCGGCTTCAAAACGGGGCCATGCTGGAGCAAACAGTTAATTCTCCCCCCTCCCACATTGTGTCAGTGCGATGCGGTTGTTTTTAGAGGGGGGAAAAGACTGAAATCTGGACAAGGCTTCCCCCAATCTAGTGTGGCCTCTTTATCCATGTTTGCAAGACAGAAAAGTTACAAATGGAAGAAACTGTTTTGAAACTTTAGAGGGTGAGGAGGAATATCTTTAAAGCAACTCCAGAGCCAAGCGGATTGAATTGGAGCTTCTAGTGAGAGGTTTCTCCCTTGGATTTGCACCTGGAGGGACCAATGGGGAAGAAGGTGGCTTTTCAGGCATCCTGATCTTAAATCACGAAGGTTTCGTAAAGAACGGCCCAAGTGGAACTCAGATCAGGTTGGCAGCTTCTGACTTTATAGTACAAGAAGACTTTCAGCCAGACTAAACACAGGTGGCCGTTTAAACCACCTGTGGCTTCTAAGACAGCCTTCAAGGTCAACCCCGATAGATTATGCTGCAGTAGTCTAAAAAGATGGTGGATCCTTGTGACTCTGCACACCAGGTCTAAGCAGAACAAAGGGGATCGGGGTCAAAGTAGGCCCCTGATTCTCCAGAAGGACCCCTAAACCACAGTCTTGGACTTCCCGGAGGGTGGAACTGTGTTCAAATCAGACCGGACTTCCAAACTTGGGAAGACTCATCATCAGCACCATCTCTCCATATCTCCCTGCTAAGTTATTGCTGGGGCGCCCCAGAAGCACGAGGCCTCCCCCTTCTGGGAGAGAGGGGGCAGACCGCACCATCTCCCCCAAGTGCCAAGCCTGGATTCCCAGAGGGGGAGCTGGCCCGGCTCCCCCCCCCTCCCCCACCCCGTGGTTGTGGCTGCTGATAGTGGCTTCCCACCGGTCGGCATCCCAAATGGAGTTGGGTTCAGAAAGGGGAGGGGGTTTCATTCCAGACAACGCAGGGAGAGCCCCTTTTTCGGAGGGATGGGACGAGGACGAGAGAAAGACAATTTCCGGGCCCCTCTGAAAAGGGCCGGACTGGAGCAGGTGCTCTTTGGGGAGTCCCGCTTCTCCTTCAGTGAGCCCAGGAGGTCCTATGAAGGCCTTTGAATGCACAATAGACTTGAGGAGGAAATCGGAGTTTGGGATGAATCGGGAGCAGCTTCTCCTGCTGCAACAAGGAACTTGGGCACCGACCGAGGCAGGCTGGGGGTGCAGGCCATTCGTGGCTCCAGGACGGCGTGCAAATGCAGCCTTCGAGCCTTCGGACTTTTCCTGCGCGAAGGCTGCGCCGAGTGGAAGCCTCTGCCAAGCCCCGAGGGCAGCCCGGACTCCAGGGGCGAGAACGGGGGCGGGGCGGGGCGGGGGGCGCTCACCTGTAGTCCTGCGGGGAGGGCCGGCGGGCCGGTCCCGGGTTCCTGACGAGGCCGGACATGGCGAAGGGGGGGTCGCTTTCGATCATGGCCCGCCGGGGGGAGAGGGCCGGGTAGCTATCCAGCATTTCAGCAGGGAGGGACGGCAGGCGCCGCCCAGGGCTCCCGGGCTCCAGCCCTCTGGCCGAGAGCGGCGCCCCCGGCCTGCCGTGGCGCGAGAGGGGCGGCGGGGCAGGCACCTCCGAGGCCGGGCGACGGCCGGCCAACCTTCCTTGCTGCTCTCCCGGGACTGGCCCGGCGGGGCTGAGGCTGGGGCTGCGGCCGGCGAGGGGCGTCCGAGGGAGGCAGCTGGCGGGGCGGCCGGCCGGCCGAGCAGCGGTTTTAAATTTCCCTCTCCGGAGCTGTCCAGCTGGAGCATGCGCGCCCAGGGGCCGAGGGGCGGGGGCGCAGCGAGGGAGGGAGAGGGGAGGGGTGGCTCGAAGATGCGGAGCGGTGGGGGGGGGGCCGCTGGGCGGGCGGCGCGCGGGGCTGGCTTGCAAAGGCGCGAGGCGGCCGGCGCAGACCCCGACTCATTGAGGACTAGCCGCTTTCGAGGTCTGCGAGGCCGGGGCCAAGAGACGGGCGCGCGGCGGCGGGGCCGGGTGAAGGCGGCTACTCGCCCGCCTTCCTTCCCGCCTCGCCCGGCCGGCCGCCGCCCGTTCTCTCGCCCGCCCGACACGGCGGGAAGGAGCCCGCCAGCCGCCGCCTCGCCTCGCCCCTCCCGGCCCCGGCCTGGCCTTCCTGCGGGGGGCGCTCTCCGGCCGGGAGGGAGCACGAGCTCCCCTCCGTCCCCCTGCAAAGGCCGCCCTCCCCCCCCATCCCTTCCCCAGTCTATAGCGGCCCGAGGGCTGGCTGGGGATGCTGGGGGTTGTAGTCCCCGTGCAGTTGGAAAGTCCTGTTTGGGAAAGGCTGGCGGAGCTGTGGTTCCTCCAGCCCCCCCCCGCCGGACTATCGGCTAGGAAGGACCCCTCGCCCTAGCTAGTGTGGCTGAGGGTTGCCCACCCCACGATCCCCTTTCTTGACAGACCGCTCCTGGATCCTGAGTGAAATTCACACTCGGAGGAACTCCTGGTCACCCAGTCTGTGTCTCCCACTGGGAGAAGCCGCCATGAAAGTGGGACCTTCCCAAATCTCTGAGCATATCTGCTGAACCCCCACCCCCTGCCCAATTTCATGGGCCCCGGGCTGGACAGGCCACGATGCAGGGGGATGTGGGTTTCCCCTCTGGCTGAAGACCTGGAGGGGTGGCCTTCTGAGTCAGATTCAGCCCTCCGTTTATGTCCCTTTCCAAGTCAGAGACCCATCTGAAACTTCTGGGTAGTTTTTCTGGTCTTGCTTTGTAGGAAAGGATGAGAACTCAGCAACACGTTCAAAGGAAAGACATTTCTTCTGTGTCTCTCAAGATGGAATTCACCACGTTTTCCTGCTACTGTGTGAAAAGGATATAAAAGAGAGAAAGACTGACAAGGAAGAAAATTAATGCTGAACAAAAAAAATCCGGTCTCAGCATCGCTTTATAAGCTAAAATGAGCTCCAGAAACAATGGCAATTGTGCCAAAACCAAATATTCTGTAAGTAATACGGTGTTTAAATTCACCTCTCCTTAGAATTTGCAAGGTCCATTTTGTCTACATTTAAAAACAAAAACAAAAACAGCATTCTTAAACTTCTTAAACCCCCATTGTGTCTCTTGTAGGCAGGTCTCTAAACTGAAATAGACACAGTTATTTCAGTTTTCTAAGGCCTGGCTTTTCCCCCTGGCGCATGAAAAACGTGTGTCAGTAACACTTTTATCTGTGTAACAAATTGTACTTAAAATCATTACGTGTGAAATTACCAATTAATCCTACGGGGACAAATCCTTTAGTAGAAATCTACCCACTTGGGACCGTACAGATGGTGAATCGGAGTTTTACAATAGACCCAACCTCTGATTAAATGCAGAGATGTAACGGACAAAAAAGCTCAAAATTTGGCTAGAGAATAAAATATCAGGTCCTAGTGCCCGACAAGTTCAGCATAGTACAGTCTTTAAAACTTTATTCTTTTACTTCAGTGGATCCATGGGCAAAGATTATTCTGGGGTTGCTATAGTGTAGGAAATAGTTTTTGCACCAATATGGCACAGCCTGAAAGAAATAGGCAGTATTCAAATCCCTCATCCGTGATTTCTGTTTCTAGATTTTATAAGGTCTGGGCAGAATCATAGATGCTTCTTTTGGCTGGAATTACTGAGACTGCTGTAATTAAAAGATGTTAATTGTTATTTTTTAGGGGTAGGCCTGATAATTCTTTCTTACTTTAATAGGACAGATCCACCCGTGGCCTAGACATGCATTTACCATCACTTTTAGTTTCAGTTTTGACATGGCTTGGAAATCCCATTAAACCATTTTTTCTGGCCTGCCTTGGCCAGAAACTGATAATTTCAAATAATGAGTAGAAAGTAGTCCGGTCCCTTTTTTTCCCTCCCTAGTCAAGGGCCGTGCCCCACAATTTGAAACCAACATTTCCCAAAGCACTTTGTGGATTTGGGGAAAGGTCAATTAACTTCTGTTTCCTCCGAGTAACCCTGGGAAGAACGGGCAGCAGTTCTGTCCAGAGCAATTTGTCCAGTGACCTTCAAGGGCAGGAAGTTCACAAGTGCAACTAACAATGTCATCTCAAATTTGTTCCTGGGTTGGTGTGTATCGCAAGAGAAGGAGGAACGGTTGTGCAGCCTTTCCTCCTCCTCCTACAATACTCAGGTTCCGAGCTCATCACTCAGAGGTTGTATTCATTATTTATTAAGCAAATGTATATGGGCGCCCAACTCACACATAGGTGGCTTGCAACATTAAAAATCCACAACGTTAAAAGCCCCTTCCCCCCCCTTCCTCCCCATGGCAGCAGCAACACAATCAAATCAACCACCTGATGGATTTTATGTCCATTGATAGTCCTCAGGCCCACTGACCAAAGCACATCTTCAGGGCCTTTTAAGAAAACAAGAAGATGGGGGCCAAGGAAATGATGTCCAATAGAGAAGGCCCTTTTTCATGGTCCCACCAGATCTCATCCCTAGCAGATCCTTCCTACCCCATTAGGTGTGCACCGCAGTCACAAGACCCAAAGAAATGTGTGTATCTTCCAGGTGTCTTTTTCCTTTCCTCTCCCTTTGCAGAATCTGTCGTGTTGTGGTGAAACAATAGAAAATTCAAAAGCTGTACACTCAGATTGGTTTCCCAGACAAAGACTGAAGGGGAACGGTATTTTTCTAGGGGAGGCTAAGAGATGGTGGCCGTCATGTTTATTCCTTGAAATGACAGCTCTGGACTGGAGTTTCAAATGTTCTCTTTGTTTTTTTTTTATTATTCTATAAATCAATTTCTAAAGGAACCAAGGTTGGTTTCTGTTAAGTTACAACTGGAGAGGGAAAAATATAGCTGCCATAATTCCTTAAATGATATAACTGGACAGAGATGGACACATAAAGTATTTTTCTCCAGCTTTGTCAAGTAGAACTAGTTTATCCCAAATAGGATATATTCCCCCCCCCCTTTTAACCAAAGGAATGAATTGAGGAATGGCTGCAGAGAAAGTGCAGTTGCAAGCGGGGGGTGGGGTGGGGAAGAAGGGTTTTTTTGATGTTATTCTTGTTTTTTTATTTGATTTACTTCCTCCTTCCGTCTTTAATAACCAAGTTCCTTAAGCTTGGATGATGCAGGTTTTGTTGCCAGAGCTGTGCCACTGAATGCTACTGACCCCGGCCAAGACCCCAGCCCCAGTTCCCCACCAGACAAAGATGGAGCTGTGCGAGGACCAGTCAGCCTCCATTATAGCCGAGGGAACCTAGCAGGAAGAGACAGCCTTCATTATTTTTAATTGGGCTCTACAGTTAAATAATACACAATGGCCACAATCGTCTGGGAAGTTATATTGTGGAAGGCCATTGAATTAATGGAAGCCGGGCCGGAGTGGAGCAGCATTCCCATTCATTTCAATGGGCGAGGGCTGGGCGGATCTCCTGTCCAGTCCAATGTTGGTTGTTTATTGATCCTGGTGTTGAAACATAAGACAAGCTCCGTTTGGGGGAGGGGGGAGTTGTTAGACATCCACAGTTAACAGAACCACATTGTGTTTCATAATCTGTCAGCAAAACCATATGCTATCCAAACACAGGCAAATCATACCCATTAAATCCCATTTCTTTTTATTCCTGCGTTTCTTCTATTGTCTGCTCCAGATCTGGAGTAACCCTGTTTTGCCTGAAGTCCCCTAAACTAGAAGCTGACACCTGAAGAAGTCCAGACAGGGGTTGCCACATCAGCCTTCGGTTGCGGTGAGTCCAAAGCAATTCCTTCCTGGGACCAATCCTGGCACCGGATGTTGGGCAGTCTATAAAGTGCCCCCCCCGCCTCCTCCCTATTCTCCCCTAAAGGAAGGTTGAAGATCTCACAGCCCCAGTGAGGCCTAAATTTTAGGCCATCCATCACTTTTGTCCCCGCCCCCTCGCCCCCCAAGACACCAAAGGCAGCTGGGGATGAGTGGGACCTGGATCATTCAGACGTTAGCTGAGCCTGGGACTGCTGCCTGGTTTAAGGAGGCAGACTGAAGAGCAGGAATTGAGAGACCTCACACCTGCTATGAAATGGGAAGCAGTTGTGAAACTCCTTGAGATAGGCAGGGCTGTGGCACATCAGAGGTCTCACCTAGATCAATAAGTAGGGATTTTTTTAAAAAAAAGTCTTCCATGTAGAGGTAATAAATTCAGCTTAATTTCTTTGCATGGAGGCCTTGTTAAAATTATGTCCAAAAGTGTGTGCACCACGCTGCGGAGCCAGAGTACAAGCTCAGCATGTCTTCTCCAAAGTCTCTCCCAAATGCGAAGGGTGTTTAGGATTGCAACGTTACAACCCTGCATAATTCATTGCGCTATAAAATGCGCTACCATATTTTATTGCAAACCAGAGAGCATGAAATTATAGCTGTAATGCAATGTTCTGTTCCGTGGAGATGCCGGGAGGGAGAAGACCCACCTGTCACTTCCCTCGGAGGCTGGGCTTCTCTGAGGAAGGAGTCCAGGAGACCTGGTAGCAACTCTTGAATTTTTGAAGCTCCTTCCAGAAAAGCAAGAGAGAGAGAAAACTGAGATTAAAAGTAAGGCAGAGGCCAGGAAGTAGGAGGTGGGATCTGGTGTAAATAGGCAGAGAAGGGAAGGTGCACAGAACCGGGTGTTAGAAGGAAATCTGGAATTCCAGACTGTTCATCACCCTTTATAGCCAGAGCATTCTGCAAGAGCTCTTGCAAATCCTACCCCATTTCCCCCCTGCTGGGTTCCAAAGCAGGAAAATATTGGGGTGAGTGGGTGGGTGGGTGAGAAACAGGTATCATCCCAAGAGATTACTGTTGGGTACCTTCTGATTCTTGCAAATGCAGGATTAGGAAATGAGCATTTGATGAGATTGTCACTTTTGAACTTCAGATTCTACTGCTCACTTGTCGTTCTAAGAAAATCCGAGTGATACCTGATATTTTATCTTCAATCCTTCTGAAAATTCACCTTTTGAGACTGTTTTTAAACGATTAGATTGCCTTTAAAATACCTGCCTCTTTCTTATAACTCGTTTTCTATAAATTGTAGATATTTAAATTTCTCACTCAATGTGGCATCGCTAATCAAAAGAGTATGATTAAAAACAAACAGACATATTTATCTATCTGAAGCCCTAACAGTGCAATAAAACCCGACTTATTGCTTGTAATATTTAGAATTAATGAATGCAGGGCTGAATCATTTATGATTGTCTTAGCACAAGCAAGAATTCAATTAAATTTGAACAGGAAACACCAAGGCACTTGGCAAAAACAAAACAAAAAAAATCCTCTTTCCCTTTTTTCCTCTTGCAAACAATACCCTTCACTTCTGCTCCCTTGGGGCTGCTGGCAGAGAAACAGGTGTGTAAACCAGGAGCAAAACAGGTATTATGTTGCTTAAAAGTCATTCATCCCATCAGAGGAAGGGAGGAATCCAGAGACACCTGGGAGAGCTCTCTGCTTGGATGTCAGCTAATTTGTTGCAGGAATAACAGCCCATTTGCCAGGAGAATGCAGGAGGGAGTGGGGTTTTTTCCTCAGGAGAGTGCCAAACTGGATTTGTGGGTTATGTTTAGCCAGAATATGATTTTAGCTTAGCATTTTTTTAAAAGCCAAGGCCAAGTCAAAAGGAGATGACAGATCGGCAGGTGTGTTATGAATTAGTATGTAATAGTAAAACATTCCAACTAAGCGAACCAAGGAGAGAAGCAACCTAAAACTAAGGAGAAATTTCCTGCTTGCCTCCAGAGGTTGTGGGTGCACCATTACTGGAGGTTTTTAAGAAGAGGCTGAACAGCCATTTCTCCAGAATGGTATAGCTGGCTGGGGAATTCTGGGAGTTGAAGTCCACAAGTCTTAAAAGTTCCCAAGGTTGGAGAGCCCTGGTATGGGGTCTTCTGCTTGAGCAGGGGGTTGAACTGGAAGGCTTCCGAGGTCCCTTCCAACCCTGTTAAAGGCCAGGTGCATTTCCCTTGTTAGCACTTAGACTTATATACCGCTTATTCCTGGAAATCACCACCTTACCTCCATCTATGGCTAGTGTGTGCCCTGCTTTGGGTGGGGCTCATAAACACAGTTCTACATCACCTGTGGGCATTTTTACAACCAGGAGGTAACTGACCCGCAGTTACCAGGTTCTCCTTATTCTGTCTCTATCTAGTGTGAGGCATCCCTGAATTATTAAGGATATTTAACATAAATATATAGTCGTAACATCAGCCTGGTTCTTGTTAGTTTTAATTTTTAAGCACTGCCACCAGTCTCAGACTAAACTGGTGAAAAGAGATCCTGTAACTCTTTGCTTACCTGCTGCTATGCATTATTAAGTGCAGAGGTTGCCCTTAACATCGGCTCCTTTAGACTCCAGAAAAGGGACTTGACTGCGGAAGGGACCCCCAGGGGCCTAGCAAGGCCAGCAGAAGGAACTGCAGGAAGGCAGGGGGTTTTCAACCTCCACCTCTCATCCCGGCTTTATTTCTGTCCTTAGTAATTAGTCTGTCAAGAAATTGCAGCAATCAAAGATCAGGCAGTGCCTGCTGCAACCTAATCTCCGAGAAGGTCCAGTGTCTAATTCTTATCAGCAGAATGAGCCAATACCAGCATGCCGGACCCGGAGGGCTCAGCCACCGACACGCAACATGAATTATTAAGCGTACTTCGCTGGGACGGAAAAGTCTTTTTGCAGACTCCTGGCATCAGGTTCTGCTACGCTGGATGGATCCTAAGCAAGCCAGCTCGCCAGAGTCCTGAATGGCTTAATCGGACCATCAGCATTTGGGATCAGCCTTCAGGATGGCGACCCAGGTAATGGTCAGCGCAGCCAAGGAGGAGGAAGAGAGGTCATGGGAATAAAAAGGTCGGGGTAGTGGAGTCTGAGAGAAGCTTCCACAAATTTGAATCGGAAAGGTGCTCCCTGATTTTGGGGAGCAATCTTGATGCCCTGGGGTTTCCCTCTCTTGAACGTCTGTGGTCTTTCCATAGTTCAAAACTCCTGAGCAGTTGGGCCGGATAGAACCCGAGGTTCAGGCCTCAGGGTGTCTCCCTTTTGCCTTGGTTTGAGGGGGGGGGGGGGGGGGGGGGTGAGAGGGGCTGCCCTTTGCTCCCGAGTCCCTGTCTGCCCTTCTTCTACTTCATGCCCATGAAGTAGAAGAACAGATGTTCCATGTTGTACCTGTGGAGAGAGAATTTGGAGAGCTAACATCCCAGAGAGCAAAAATGCGTGTCTCCTCTTTCGTAAAGCCAAGAACCAAAACTTTCTCATTTAAATAAGCCCCCAAAAAAGGCAAAGTTTCTGTGGAGTCAACAGTGTAAAACCAAATCTGTTCCCCGGAATGGGACGTTGGGGTGATGGGAGGCAAGAACAGTTGACCCAAAAGATGCACCCAGCCACCCCACTTGGGGCCACATCCATAAAGGGAGGGGCTGGTTCTGTTCCCGAGGGGACCAACTCTATCCAAGCCAGGCAGCCTTGGCCATGAGCAACGTGGTGGGTGAGGTGGATCTGTTTCTAGCCCCTTCAAGACTGCATTGCATTATTCCAACACCATGTTTTCAACCTCGGCAACTTTAAGATGTGTGGACTTGGACTCTCGGGAACTGGAGTCCTCACATCTCAAAGTGGCCAAGGTTGAACAGCAACGCTTGAAGGGGAGGGGGAGAAGGAGGGAAAATTGGGAGAGGGAAGCATTCAAGACTTCAGTTCAACGGATGGCTCCTCTATTGTCAAGGGTGTGTCTAACTCAGCACTTCTTTAAAAAAATTGTGCTGGCCCTAAAGCTGTATTCTGGAATAGGAGAAGAGCAAAGGGAAGGACTTGCTACAAATGGCCATTTCCTCTCCCACCCACATGGACGGTTGTCCTCAAAGGGAAAGGAGATTGTTGTCCTGTGGCTTTTTTTGTGCCAACAATATCTGGCCGAGGGCAAAAATAGTTGCAGATCGATCCTCATATTATAATCAAAAGTTTAACCGGAAAAAGCAGCTTTGCTTTCTTTCAGCCAGGCGAAAGGATTCGCTGAGGAGCGTTTGTTTGGGCCCTTGTGAATTTGGTCGGTTTGGATGCTGGCCTGAACATTGTCCTGGGTTGAAACTGGTGAAGCCGCTGGCCATTCTGATTACCAAACAGGATTTGTAATTATGCTGAACTGGAAGTCAGAGATGACACGGCAGTAAATTTAGAGAAGGGTCAGGTCATTTATTTGCTGTTTCATTTTTCTTTCCAGTGAGGCCGTTATAAAAATCTAATTTCCCAATGCAGTCAGCTGTGAAGCAGCCCAGAACAGAATCTGTTCATTCCTTTATTTATTTGTTAAGCAAGGCATGGAAGGGGGGGGGAAGCTTGTTAGGAGAAGCGAGTTTTCAAATTAAAGCGGTGGCTCTCCCTGCAGTTTGGACAATGTTAGCAAAAGCAAAGTTCCTGCCGGAGCAATTGAACTGTTGCTTCAGAGCTAGGGACTTACCTGTTTGGCTGTTTACCTGTGAAGGGTTTGGCTGCTACTGAAAATGAGGTGGGGGAACCGTGTGGGTGACAATTTGGTGAGAGTGGCTGAAACTTCAGTCTCCTCAAAGTTGGGATAACGGGAGGCGGCCGAGTTGGGAGGCAGATTTGGAGATATTCATGTGGAAATAAATTAGAGGCCCTCCGACTCATGATGGTTGTGCGTTGCTCGAGACTAGCACAATCGGCTTTCCACAATTCTCTTACCTGCCCTCCATGAAGAAGCCATTTAGGGCCCCAAATGCTGAACGGGGTGACTGGTATGAGGTCCTCCTGAGGTTGAGGCCCCCTTTGGCAGACGAGCCTCGGAGGTTCCTGGGGCAGCTTTGCTGGGGCTGCTGGTGGCTTCTCCTTTCAGTTTAGGGCGGGGGAATGATCAGGATGGCTGCTGCTGCTGCCGCTGTTGTAGGATCTCAGACTTCCTTTAAGCAATTAACGCTCTCCCCCAAGCCAAAGAGAAACAGCTGCACCACTGCAAGCCATAAAAGGGACCTTCCCCGCACCACCCCTGGCTGCCTAGGTTGGGGGAGGGCCGGTGGTGGTCTGTGCACCAGAATGGAGGGGCTGCTGGTGGTAAGTGCTTTCTAGGGGCCTCTGGGGCAGCTTCAGAAGGAACGGCTTGTTTCTCACTCTATAAACCCTTCGGCTTTTGTAGGGTTAAAAATACGGGGATCTCTGGGAATCCTCCACGGACGAAACAAGGGGAGAAGAAGGCGAAGTGCTTCAGTTGTGGAGCTTGAATGTTCTTTTATGCTCTGCTAAATGAACTTGGAGTGCAGTTAAATGCTGAAGAAGGTGCAGGAGGAACCTGGGACAGGTTTAACAGTTTAACAGTAACAGAGTTGGAAGGGACCTTGGAGGTCATTTAGTCCAACCCCCTGGTGAAACTGTCTGGTTGGGTTGGGGGTGGGTTCTGCTGTTTTCACCAATTCTGCAGACCGAGAAGGCTGTGAAGCAGGAAGGTGAGCAACAGGCCAGGCTCACCAGTTGCATGGATTACAGAGAATTGCTGCCCCATTCCCTTTTTCCCCCATATGTACAGCTGGCTTGATGCTTTCACACACATGGGTGTGCGAAAATACAATTTCTGAAGGGAGGCATCCATTCGTGATGTTTGCTGTTTGTTTGCTTATTTTGAAGGATTCTCTCCTGATTTTTCATCTGGTCAAGCTTGCAAATTGATATGCAATTAAGTTAAGGTCATATTGCACCGAAGTGTTAAAAGATCTGTAGGTTTAGAAAACAAACCAGAGGCACTTTGTGGCAACCGACAGCACAACTGTAGCAGTCCTAAATAGGCAATCCCTTGTTGTTATTTCAATTTTGAGGCTGCCCACAGTGACTCTGGGCAGATTGCGACCGCCCTCTCTCATGCGAGGCTCACTGGGAAGAGGTTGCCAGAACTTTCTCCCTCTTAGAAGTCAGAGACCCCCGTTAACACCAGAAAGAGGGTGCTTTAGGAGGTGGTGAGGGAACTTTGTGTTTTCTTTCAGTCTGGGAACAAGTAGCTCAGAAACTAATTAGTAAAACAATGTCAGAATGTAATTTGCGTCGGAGATAAATAAAACAATAATGGCAGTCTATTTAATAGCCCTCAAAAGAGAGGTATTCGTCTATCCAATGGAAGGATGCTCTGGAGGCAAGCTGCCACTCTAGAGGTTTCTCCCCCCCCCAACCCCTCCAGTCCTCTCCCTAAATAGCAAAGTTGTTGGTGGGGGGGGGGGCAGGAGACATGTTAAAATTGGTTGCCATAAATTGAATCCCTGCACTGTTTGCTCTCTGGAGTGGAGCCGTATTTCAGCTTTGAGCAGAGGATGCAAAGAGCTTGTTTTGCCAGGACAGTGTGTAGTTGTTTATTGGCCTATGAAAAAGGAATCGGAGGTGCTGTACCCTGCCTTGGACCATTAACCTCCTGAAATGTTTTGACAAGGGGAGCAGGGAAAAGGCTGGGGCTGGGGCTGGCAGAGCAGCGTTTGAAGGCAGCCAGGATCGGAAAGAAAAGGAAAATTCTGCTCCATTCGCCCCTCTGCCAAGAATCAGGAATCCGTCTATCCCATTTGCCCTGCTCTTCCCATGATTGAAAAACAAAAACCCAGTGATAAATAAAATGGGTCCTTTTGCTTTCCCAAGTAGGCCTCGGGGCCACCTGAAGGCCCTTCGGCTCTGTTTTCAGCCCTGCTCCAGTGTGGTGAATGTTTTGGCCACATCCTGAGTGGAGAAGGAGGCTGGTCCAGGAGCCTGGCCTTCCCTCCAGGCTGGGTCTGAGCCCTGGGGATCACCAGCCCACCGATTTGGGCTTCTCATCTTGACCCAGGACTGATGGCTTCCTTCTTCCCTTCTTTTCAGCTCTGTTCTTGACCTGCCTTCTAGAGCAGGAGATATCCCCCCACCAACGAGTGGGATCCGGGGGCTGGAGCTGTTCTACGGCAGGTGGGACACAAGGAGGTCCTGGTCTCCAGGTCAGAGCCGGCCAGGACCTGCCCGGGAGGAGGAATGGCCAGGAACAGATCGCCATTGTTGCTCTCATCAACCTGAAGCGCGTCGAGAGAGGCAGGGGAGCCCTGACCGTTAGCCGCCCCATTTATCGGGGCTGTTGTGTCCCGCCCGGCCCTCCCCCTCCCCGCCGTTTCTCAGATTAGCCCAGGCCGCGCTCTAAAAGGGTCCTCGGCCGGGCTTTTGTGCCCGGAGTGCCCAGTGTGAAATCTGCAGTGACGTTAAATGTTTTCTAATGAATAATTATTGAAAGGAAATGGAGGCATATCAGTGTAAAGGATTGTAGCGTATTAAAACGTTTTATGCGATGGGTACAAAAATGTTGTCCTTCACAAGCACTTTGGGAAAAAGGCTTTAGTTTCTTTTCCTTGTGAAGGGGTTTTGATTCTCAGGGGATTATCCCTAAGCTCTTTCTGGCCCGTCTCCTGACGGCAGTGAAAAGGGCCCGCAAAGGGCTTTCAAGATGGCAGCCCTGAAGCCGGTCGAAGGGTTAGAAGTTTTAGGGGTTAGAAGAAATGTTTGAACATCGGAGGGCTTTTTTTTTCCCACTTCAGCTTTTGATTTTGGAGGGTGAGGCACAGCTCCCCTTTGACCCCGCAGGGATGGTCGGTGGCTCTTTTGGTTAAGGCTGTGCCAAGATTACAGGCGAGGAACTGTCAAAATTGCTGGATGTTTCTTGCCCACCGCTCAGCCTCAAAATCTGCATTTTATATGGCTTGGCTTCAGAAAGAAACGAGGCTAAAGTTTTGAAAAAGCTGCGTGGGATGCAAACACATTTAAGAATTTCTTGTTTCTAGGATTCATCGTTGATATTCTTTTCCCAAAGCAGCAAAGCAAATGATCAAATGCACATTAGCCTTTGGAGTGAAAGCTTTTATTAATATGAAATAAAAAATACTAATGAAAACCCCCATAGATGAATGCAGCAGCATCGTTCAGCCAGATAGATTCTCGATTCGTATAGGAATAGCAGATGCTAGTTCTCAGACCTCAAGTTTTTTCTTTCTTTCTTTCTTTCTTGCAATTTTGATGTGGTGAAATGATTCTAGAATTCACACTTTTGCAAAAGCCCCCAGTTGTAGTAGATGGCTTTAGAGGAAAGGCAAATGAAGCCTTGGGAGCAGAATTAAACAGAGGGAAGAAAACATGGGAGACAGGCAGGCAATGTAGGTCACTTCCAGGCTGCCGGTGGGTTTCTCTGGGGGCCTGTGTGATAAGCAATTCCTGGGCAGATGGCCTTGGTCCCTCTGATGTCATGTTTACACTGGAGGACATTAACTGCAGCACCAGAAGTTGAATGGCTAGGAAAGTCAAAGGCGGGAGGAGGAGGAGAGCAGCCCCCTCCCCAAATTTCTACAGTAGAAGCTGCTTTGTAGGCTCACCTACTCATATTGATGAATATATTCCCATCATAAGCCTATATTCATATGAATAACATTCAAAATATTCATAAGCCATCATGTGGTTGTTTGCTGCGGACTTGGTTCAAATGGTGATTTATTCAAGCCATGGACTAATTATGGACCTTCTTCATGCCACACTTACACTTTCACAACTATTTTTCTTTCCTCCCCTTGAGGTTCTCTTTGTGTGTGAACTTTTTAACAGGTCTCCAATAGGTGGGATATTGTAGCATTACAAACTCCTCGGAGACCTGAACGGATGCTCAGGTGGCAGCAGAGGATTGGCGTTGTCTTTCTTGGTTGTGCAAACATTTGTAGCCCGGGGGAGGGGGAGTGGGGCTACGACACTTAGTTTTTGTAGAACCTTTCCCAGCCTGATGCCCTCTGGTTGTGTGAAGCTCCAGAAGCTGCTCAGATGAACGATCCATCCAGTTCTGAAGACAGCCGCTTTTCATGTCTCTGATGGGCTGAGAAGGAGCCGTAGTGTGGATGCTTGACTTGAGAAGGAGCTTAGGGTGACCTCTTGTGGAGAAAAGGTGGAGACGGAGCTCGCAAGGCGCGTTGGGCCTTTCCAGCATCCTTGCAACAGGTCTCTCCTGGGCTACGCCTCTCCTGGCTGGGACCTGGAGGCAATGAGACACATTGTACTCACCCGTCAGATGGTGGTGGGCTTCCTTCTCTCCATGATCAGCCTCTTGCCTTCTGGAGGTTATCTCCGTTCTGCTTCCAAATGACTGTAGAATACCAGACAGACCCATCTCGCCTCTTTCCCCATCTTTCGACGTTAGGAAAGCCCACCGGTGTTTGCCTGTGACCTGCAATTTCTTTCATGGTGAATGAGCCGACTCTTCCATTCTGCAGTCATGGAGAAGCTCTTTCTTCCTGATGAAGCCCTGATCCATCAGTCCTGGCAGTGCCAGGGTTGGGTGTGTCTTTCACCATATTTATGGGGTTGGGCTAACGTTTCTCAACCCTGGCCATTATTTATTTTGTTTAGATAGGTGGACTTCAATTCCCACCCGCTGGCTGGGGAACACTGGGAGTCGACGCCCGCCCACCTTAAAAGGTTGAGAAATGCTGAGTTTGACGGCAGGGCCAGAGAGAAAAGACCGTTGGGTGCCCAGCTCCGCTGGAGCAACTATGTTTGAATTAGCTGCCCTTCAGATTCTCACCTGCTGAAATGTTACCCAAGAGGTAGCAGAGCATAATTTTTAAGCAGCGCTTTCAAACTTCAGTTGATGCCCTCAGTAAGGCCTGCAAAACATCCAAGCCCAACAACTTCCTGTGTGAGGATAAGAGGGCCTGCAGACATTGGCCTGTTACTCTAGGAAGAAAGAGCTGAGTGAGCCTGTGGCTACTACCAGACACCTTCTGATGTGTGTGTGTGTGTGTGTGTGTGTGTGGGAGTGGGGCAGGATGAATTTAGATGATGAATCTAAGATTAGGTACCAAAATTGGTGGCCCTGCAAGGAGAAACTCTCCCTTCTTTTTTTCTTTCCTTCCTTCCTTCCTTCCTTCCTTCCTTCCTTCCTTCCTTCCTTCCTTCCTTCCCCCTCCCTCCCTCCCTCCCTCCCTCCCTCCCTCTCTCCCTCCCTCCCTCTCCCCTCCCCTCTCGCTGAGATGTTACACAGAGGACAATTCAGCCTCTCTCTCTCTCTCTCTCTCTCTCTCTCTGACTGGCTGGGGGAGGAGAGGACAGGGGTCATTTGAACAATGCTGCCTTGCGTGGCCAAGAGATCTTTTTTCTTTCCTTCTTTTTTTTTTTTTTTGCTTGGGCACCTTCCTCCCTGCCAGAGAGGTGGAAACGAGATGCAGTTGGAGTTCCAGTTGGAAGTGAGGTGAAGTGAGAACGGGACGTTCCGAGGGCTTCAGGGCAACGGAGGAGGACTTCCTCAAGTGGGAAGAGAGGAGCCTCGGGAGGGAGAGGTTAGGGGGCAAAGAACAAGGTTGTGGGGATCTAATCCCCAGGCAGCTCCTGGGTTTTCAAGACTGCTTATTCATTCTCTCGTTCTCTCTCTGGTGTCGGGAAAGGTAAGGCTATTATTATTGCTGTTGTTGATGATGATGTGGTGGTCGTGGGGATTGTTATGATGGGTCATCTGCAATTTCGCAGTCTGGTAGGAGCCTGAAAAGTTAAGGATGAATGAGGTAGCACCTGAGAATATAGGTAGTTCCTAGCAGGGTGTGGAGGTTTTGTTTGTAAAATGAAGGTGTTCAGGTCCAATAAATTCTGAATTTCTATATATTGTGAGAGTCCTTTAAGTATTGCTCCAATCACGATTTGGTATAAGGGTGCAACTTTGATCTCCGTGGACAATCTTTTTTTCCCATAGTTTTTCCTCAATTCTAAAATCACTCAATATAGCCACATCATTTGTTGAACCCAGATTTCTTCTTTTCCTCGGCTGTGATCTGGGGCATGTTATGGCCGGTGGAATGTTAAGCCAGATCTCCTCAGATTCCCTGGAACAGGATGCATGATTTCATTTTAATTTGTACCTTTTCCATCGTAAGCCTTTTCTCTGCCATGCAGAAGAAGGAAGCAGTAGTTAATTCCCAAGAAGAAAACTCTTCAGAGGCTCAAATCTGTCATAGTGGTAGAACCAGATCTCTCAGCTGGCTAACGGTTATGCCTCGGAAATGCAGAGGGCTTCACTACACCATGATGGATATTCACTCCGTGCATGTACCCTGTTTCCCTCAGAATAAGACATCCCCTGATAACAAGCCCAATCGGGCTTTTGAGTGCATGGCAATAAGGCCAAGTGCTTATTTCAGGGTTCAAAAAAATATAAGACGGGGTCTTATTTTCGGGGAAACACAGTATAGCGATGTTTCATTGATTTTTCCTGATATAAAAACTGCCGTTTATTTCATTCCCACATCTTGCAAAGTTGGGCCAAGCAGGGGGATCTCCTTTTTGCCTTTTCCCACCACAAAAGAGATGTGGAAAAGTTGGATGGTGGCCAAGTTTTCCATAGACTGGAATGTCAAATTAACTCTAAGTGGGACAAGGGGGCCCCCCTGCAAAGTTCCAGTGGGAAATGGGGAGCCCAGTTCTCTTAAGAAGGGCATTTCATGTCTCCATCTATGCGCCTGAGTTGTTCTTGTCCGCCAGGGGAAAACAGCTGCTCAGCCAGAGGTGACTCTCTTGACCAAGCCTGAGAAGGTAGCCAACCATCGCTATTTCAGAACAAGCCGGTTACAGGCTGGGAGAACGATGGGAAATACTCTCACGATTCGGAACGGTTCTCCAGGCAGGGCCAATCCTGCTATAATAGGTTTAAGTTCTAGCTGGCAAAACTCACAAAGGATTCCTTTGTGAAATCAGCAGAGGCAAAGCACAAGACCCAAAACCGGAGGAAGGGGGGGAGGGAGTTGGTGCCGGGTATCCCCAATGGGGAGAAAGGTGGTGCCAGGAGCACAGCCGTTAAGAGGATTTTTCCAGCCTTTTGGAGTCTCCTTCAATTCCTCCTCCTCTTCCACTCCCTTGACCCAGCCAGGTAACAAGTGCTGGAAGGGAGTGAAACGCCTGCAAGAAAACAGCCCAGCTCGGAGAGCACCAATAATAGCAAAGCCTTTTCCACAAGGAAAACTTTGACCTTGCAAATCAGTCTCTGGGTTGCAGATTCGGTAATTTGGAATCTCGGAAGAGGGAGAGAGAGCCAGGGCCTGATCTTTATCTGCTCTGGGCTCCAGCAAAGGGGAGCGAAGAGCTGCTTCTGTCTCAGGCAGGGCAAGGAGCCAGGCCAGGTTTCAGGCCAGGTCCAGCTACATGATAGCGGGGCTGCTGCATCTCCCGAGAGGGTCCAAATATTAGTTCTGGGGCTTCAGTTAGAAGGGGCGGCAGCGCCATTCTAAGACTGCGGCTGGCACTTTGTATCCAGCATGCGTGAAAATATTGCAACAGAATTTCTTGGCTCCAGGAAAAGCGGAAAAAAAAAAAAAACCACCCCACCAACTCAAATGTATCCACCGAGAGAATGTCATAGATTTTTGTCCCCTTGTTTTTGTGAAGTTACTCGATGTGCCAACTTGGCTACATTTATTAGAATAAATCACTCTCCAATTTTGCAGCCTGGGAAACTTTGAAAGACATTCCTGGGCTTAGCTTGCCAAGGTTTCTGCTTTCCGGTTATCTTAAAAGAAAAAGATTGCCTCCCCATCACTTAGGGGCACTTTCCCAAGAGCAGAAGGAAAGTCTGCTGGCTTATCCTGCTAATCGGGTCGTTTTCTTGTGGGTTTGCAGAAGGAGGCTGTGTGGAGGAAGCCCCACCAGCTGAACATGGAAGGGGCTCTGATCGCCCGCGACCGAGTCGGAGTTCAAGATTTTGTCCTGCTCGACTCTCACACCAGCGAATCGGCTTTCTTGGACAACCTGCGCAAGCGATACAGGGAGAACCTCATCTACGTAATTAAACATTAAACTGCCCGTCCACTTGGAAGAGGGAGGCTGCTTGTCTTGGGGATGGGGACGAGAGGCTGCTAAGATAATGTTAGACCAGAAGCGTTGGACTGAATCGAATGGGTTGCTACCTCTTGAGGGTTCAAGGGAGAATTTAAGAGCCAGAAGACAAGCCTGCAAAGGGGGGGGTGAGAAAATGGAAGGGTGTGGCCCTCTCCTTGATGGACGGCTGGCGCACCCAATCAGCAACAGCTTCATCTCTCCCTCTGGCCCTGGGGTAGGAAGTGGGGATGGTAGAGGTGGCAGCTCTGGTCCCAGAGCAGCCAGTTAGTCTGGCACACTCAGACCTCTGCCCTCTATTCCTTGCTGCTGCTCATCACCTCTCAACATCGTCTATCTGAGAGGTGGCCTCCCTCTTCCTGATGACGGGGCTGGCTCTGCAAGGGCACCCCTCTCTGTGGCTCTCGGGCCCTCCAGATAGGTTCTTGGGAGTGAGGAGTGCCAATGTGGGTTGGCGTTGGAGGGTGACAATTTTGTTCCAAAGATCTGGCAGGCTGTGGTGAGTCTGCTGATTGGCAGCCTCAATTCTTCTCGCTTTTCCCTTCTAGACCTACATCGGGACTCTTCTGGTGTCTGTGAATCCCTACAAAGAGTTGGACATCTATACAATTAAGCAGATGGAGCAATACAAAGGGGTCAACTTCTTTGAGCTGCCGCCGCACATGTGAGCAAAGATGCCAAGCCATGCCCTGCTCTGGGGCCTTCCTTGGGTCCAGATGGGAGCCTCCGTTCGTATCGATCCGTCCATCCAAACTTAAGGGGAATTAAAATACAAAAAGGCAGCCCTGCCCAAATGATAATTATACACAGGAGGTAGTCCCAGTGCTGGTTGGGGATTATGGGAGTTGAAGCCCCACCTGGAAAAAACCCCGTTGTGTTATCCTTTTCCCCTGGGGAAGTTCTCACCCTGTCCTCCTTGCGTCTTCTGCAGCTATGCCATTGCTGACAACGCTTACCGGGTCATGTGCACCGAGTATAACAACCACTTCATCCTGATCTCCGGAGAAAGTGGAGCCGGGAAGACCGAAGCCTCAAAGAAGATCCTGCAGTTCTTCGCCATGACCTGCCCTACCACCGAGCAGCTGCAGATTGTCCGCGATCGCTTGCTCCTCTCCAATCCCGTCCTGGAGGTAGCAGCCGAGGGATCCAGCCGTGGGTCCCATTTCCCCTCAAGGGGAGAGGAGAGGAAAGGAAGCCCCAGCCGCTCTTAAATTCCCAAACTCTGTTTATCCCACAGGCCTTTGGAAATGCCAAAACGTTACGGAACGACAATTCAAGTAGGTTTGGGAAGTACATGGATATCCAGTTTGATTTTAAGGTACAGCTTTTAAAATATTGGGGGTTAAAAAAAATACCTTGCATTTTTAACCCTTTAACCCGGAATAATGAAATGTAGCCACCTTGTAGAATCTTTTCTTTATTATTAGAGGTTATATTATTTTCTTTTTTTTTAAATCAGGAAAAAAAGTGTGATACTCATGCCTTCCTTAGCTTTTATCTTCCCAATGCCCCTGCGAAGTAGGCCAGATTGGGACCGAGAAGAGCTCTCAGGATCACCCAGCAGTGTCCTTTCAGACTGGGGGGTGGGTGTGGGGGAAATGCATCTCTTTTCCTCCACCCAATCTGAGAGTCTCGGCTCTGGGTTTCCTCACCAGGGTATTGAGAAATGGGCTTTCCCAGCCCCCTCCCCCTGAAGAGCTGGATGCCCAGGGGGGCCCTCAGCTGGGGGCGTGCCTGCTTTGTTCCCTTGCTGCCTGTGGCACCGGAGCTCTCCTTCTCTGGTTCTGCTCTTTCCAGGGCGCTCCTGTCGGTGGGCACATCCTGAGCTACCTGATTGAGAAATCCCGCGTGGTGCACCAGAACCCCGGGGAACGCAACTTCCACGTCTTCTACCAGCTGCTGGAGGGGGGAGAGGAGGAGCTGCTGGAGGGGCTGGGGCTGGGACGCAGCCCTCAGAAGTACTCCTACCTGGTGCAGGTCGGGTGGTGCAGCTTTTTGTCCACAGACTGTCATTTCCAGGTGTCTCCTGCATCACCCTGACTTGGCAAAAAGCTCCATGCGGTTTCTCTCTTCCGCTGCAGGGGGGCTGTGCCAAAGTGTCTTCCATCAATGACAAAAGCGATTGGAGGACAGTCCAGAAAGCCTTTGTGGTCATTGACTTTGCCCCAAGAGATATTGAGGTAGGAACCTTATGAGGGGGCAGAGAGGGAAGGAGAGTCTTATATCTATTTAAAACAACCCTTTCCCCCTTAGTGACGAGGGGGGGGTTACGCTAGATCTAACCGCGTTCTTTGTCTTCATTCTCAGAACCTCCTGGGGATAATTGCCAGTGTCCTGCATCTGGGCAACATCCAGTTTGAAGAAGACAGCAATGGCCACGCCATCATCACCAATGGCACTCAACTCCAGTGGATCTCCAAGGTGCCAGCTGGGCGCGTCAGTGACTCTGAATTAATTTGGAGGAGGCCAGCCGAGGGTGCAAAGCGCAGGGCGTCCCCCCCTGGCCACTGGCATAGAGCAGAGTGTTTACGGGCAAACTTTTCGCCATGTTGAAATTCAACTACGATTCCATGCACTGCTTCCATATCCTGTGGTGTGAATGCACCATCGTAGGAGTAGTAATTTTGAGCATGGGGTACCCACAGCATGGGAAAACCTCCCTCTCTCCCCAAGGTTTTGAACTTCAGCACTGATCAAGAGTCGAGCAGGCGTCTCTAGTGTTGTCTTTTTCCCTCCTCTCTCTAGCTTTTGGGCGTCCACCTGTCCATCCTTCAAGAATCTCTAACCCACAGGAAAATCGAGGCTCGGTTTGAAGAGGTACCACTCGTTCTCCCTGCTCCTTTGCAAGAAAATAGCATGGCAGATCTGCCCCCATGTATACCCACTGTGGTTTTCTTCCTCCCTGAAGGTTCTAAGCCCATTAGATGTGGACCTGGCCTTTTACGCTCGTGATGCCGTGGCCAAAGCGATATACGGACGGACGTTTGCTTGGCTGGTCAACAAAATCAACAGTTCTTTAGCTAACAGGGTTGGTCCTTCATTGCTGTTGGTTGCTTGTATAAATGGCGCGTCTTTTCCATTCTCTGGGGCTTCAGAAGGCTGACGGTTGACTGGGGCTGCTTGGGGGTTGAGCGCCTCGTGTCCAATTTGTGGGCAGACCCTCAAAGGACCTTCCCATTGGAACCCCCATTGCTTGTCTTTGCTTGATAGGACTTCAGCAGGAAAACTGTGATTGGTCTACTGGATATTTATGGCTTTGAAGTCTTTGAGACAAACAGGTAAGTCTCCATTCACCCTGGGTCAGAACCACATTTTAAAATGTTTTCTGCCTTAAAAAAGGAGACAAACTAAAGAGATACAAGAACATGGAATTTGGTCGTGGGCTGGTAAAAGTGGTTCAGTCCAGAAACGCTTCTAGAACAACACGACTGCTTTAAAATGACTTTGTGCTTTTTGTCCTTTTTTTCTTTGTGTCTGTTCAAGTTTTGAACAGTTTTGTATCAACTATTGCAACGAGAAACTCCACCAGCTGCTGATCGAGATGACCTTGAAGGCAGAACAAGAGGAATATGAGCTGGAAGGCATTGAGGTAGCTCTTGCTTCTTGCTAACCCTTCTTCCCGTTAAAGCTTCTCCTCCCCCCCCCCCCCAGCCTCCTGAAGCAAGACTAGCCCCAGGGCCGAAAAGAGGCGCAGGAAGAGACCAGTGGTGAAATCCAAAGTTTTTTACTACTGGTTCGGTGGGCATGGCTTGGTGGGAGTGGTGTGACTTGGTGGGCGTGGCTTGGTGGGCATGGCAGGGGAAGGATACTGCAAAATCGCCATTCCTACCCCACTCTGGGGCCAGCCAGAGGTGATAATTGCCGGTTCTCCAAACTACTCAAAATTTCCGCTACCGGTTCTCCAGAACCTATTGGATTTCACCTCTGGAAGAGACCAAATATAAGCTGCAGTTGTCAAACCATCCCGGAGGCTACCTGGGGGTGGGGTTGGGGCGCTCCTGTTTCTCAAGTTGGAATTTAAATGCTCCAAGGATTGGAGAAGCAGAGCAAAAATGCAGAGCAAAAATGGTTGGGGAGAAACACCTTTTTTTACACCATGCATAAATTTACTCATTTTATCCAACCACTGAGTCAGGTCAAGCAGGTCTTAACATAAAATCCTGCCAAATTTGACCAAATCAGGATCCTTGATGTGAAGGAAATGTATGTATTCTGAACCCAAATTGTGGACAATTGTGCTTTTCCCCAAACTTTTAAGACTTCTTCCTGGAGTTCATCTAAATTCTGATTCCAGAGGCTGGTGGAGATGGACTTGCTGTTTGAAGTTGAATTTTACTTGGCCATGCTGTGCCTTGACCTCCTACGTTTTCCTCCTAATTGTAGTGGGAACCAGTTCCATATTTTAATAACAAGATCATATGTGACCTCGTGGAGGAAAAGCACAAAGGCATCATTTCCATCCTGGTAAGAAAACTTTGATCTTTGTGTATCACTGCCACTATGACCGGTTCCAAACAAGGTTGCCCTCCAAAGGAATTTGGTGGACTGAAAAGTTTTAAAACAGCCAGGGGATTCTTCCAAAGAGTCATTGATCTTCTCACAAAACTACAGTTCTGTTTTTGTAGTGTATTGGCAGAGAAGGGAAAGTGAACCACCGGGTGGTTTTATAGGACCCGGGGCTGACCTGGGAATGAGGAATACTTTGAAAGAATTTTCTTTGCTGTTTGGAGATGCTCCCAGCGTCCATTTTCTGCATCAGGAGACCTCCAGATGTGCTGGCTGGCAGCTGTAAATATAAGCCCAACACATCTGGTTTAGATCCAAGAACCAGACACGTTGGCTGTGCCCCACACATAACCATCGACCAGGATTCTTCAGCGGGATTCATTGAACAAATTAGAATAGCCTGGTTAGAATAGCCAGAGGTCTGCAATTTTAAACACTCAAAGAGCCATTTGGACCCATTGCCCACAGAAAAGAAAACACCGGGAGCCACAAAACCCTTCCCGTGCCTGACTATTTCCTGAGCGGCCACAAAACTAGCCTATGTAGTTGAATTAAACGTTCCGTTTTCTTCTGAAACTTTTCTTTTCTTGGATTTATCCATGGTTGGCCTACCGGGGTTGAAAAGCTCAATAAACCGTGTGCCAGCAGGTGTCACACATATTGTGACACATATTTTGAGTGACAGGGAGCCGCAGCAGAGGGGTGAAAGAGCCCCATGCGGCTCCAAAGCCTGCCTTAAGCCTCATACACTATTTATTGCTTATGTGGGGAGCCTGCAATGGTCTTTTGTCTTTCTTGTTTAAGGATGAAGAATGCTTGCGGCCAGGTGAAGCCACTGACCTGAGTTTCTTGGAAAAACTGGAGGAGAAAGTAGGAGACCATGCCCATTTTGTGACGTGAGTGCCGTGCCCTTCTTGCTAGTTCTCTCACCTTGGCCCTTCTTGGAGCAGACTCTAGTTCAGCCCCACCATCCTTGCTTCTGGGTGTGACCCTGGCCCAGCTGCCAGTGGAATCCTCTCTGAACTGGGAAATTCCCCCTCTTTTTTCTCTTTCTCTCTGCAGGAGAAAGCTTGCAGACCTGAAAACCCGGAAGTCCATCGACTGGGTGGACTTCCGCTTGCTTCACTACGCGGGAGAAGTGACCTACTGCACAGTGGGTAAGAAAGGGGGGCTGTCGTGGGAACCGGCTTGGAAGGAAGGGACTTAATCTAGGCTGGTTCCCTCCCTCCTTGCTTGAAGCTCACAGGAATGATTCCTGCTTCAGGAAAAAACCAAACCAAACCCAAGGAGGCATCAGAGCAATTGGAAGCACCTCCTTTCTAGAATTCAAGGCCAGGAACATTTTTCTCTCTGAAGCAACTTATCTTGGCAAAAGTTCTCCTCCAGCTCCCATTGAATTCAATAGTTTGGAAAATAGCTTTGTGGTGATCTCACTTCAAAGCCTTCTGGGCACAATTACCCAGAAGGTATTCTCTGTGTGCCCTTCAATTTGACATGGTTCATTCAAGCCCATTAAATTATAGCCCATCATTCCCAACGAGCAGACTCCACAGTGGTTGTGCAGGATAGTTGGCACCAAGTTGGAGAGGACTGGTGAAGTTTCTGGGTCTCTTCTCAAAAAAACCCAAAAACCTCCTGGCAAAAGACCCTGACATTGATGAGTACTGTAATCCCAAGATTTTAATTGTTCAGACAGTGTTTCTCACTCGTGGCAAGTGGACTGCAACTCCCAGAATTCCCCAGCCAGTATGAGGGATTCTGGGAGCTGAAGTCCAGATATTTTAAGTTGCCAAGGTTCTAGAACACTGGTTTAAGCCAGCAGTGGCTTTGCTAAGATCATCCTAGCTTCATTTCCAGGAAGACTTTTCTCTTCCACTTTCCTAATTTTATTAGCATTGCCTTAACTTTATTTCCTGTCGTCTTTAGGATTTTTGGAGAAAAATAATGATCTGCTTTACCGGAACCTCAAAGAGGTAAGAATATTTTGGATCCATTGAGGTGGACTTCTCTCTTGCCTGGTAGTGAAGCGATGGAAATAGAAGTAGAAAAGGTGCGAATGAAGGAAGCGTTGCAGGAATTCTTAGAGTGGGTGAATTTCAAAATGGAAAGGAATGGGTGTTATAAATTCTGTGACCTCATGCTTTAACCTGTTTCAAGGTGCTGGGCAATTCCAAAAATGGTATCTTGAAAGAATGCTTCCGCTCATCGGAGTTACACAATCGGAGAAGGCCCGAGACGGTGAGTGCTTTCCTCGGACGCTGAGACGAGCTCTTGAAATGTTTTAGCTCAGAGCCAAGCAATAGATTGACACTTCGTAGAATTGGGGGAGTTAGCGAAGGAGAAATTTCTTCAGCTAGAAAATTGCATTCCTTGACTACGGTTAACAATTTGGGACAAGGTGCCCATGGAAATGGGACTTACAGTGGTCTTTAGCACACAGTGTCCAGAGTGCACACAACGCACACTCATTTTCACATAATTGCTTGGGGTAAGCTTGTGGCTGCAGGACGGGCGTCCCATTCCTTCCATGCTTGTAACTGAGGTCTCTGGCATGCCCAGGTTGCAACTCAGTTCAAAACCAGCCTGTCCAGTTTGATAGACATCCTGATGTCCAAGGAGCCCTCCTACATCCGGTGCATTAAACCCAATGGGGACAAAGAACCTGGTATGGAGACCTCTGGGCTGGAAAGGGGGGGGGGGGCTGAACGACTTTCCACCTGTGGCTTCATTGTTCTGTCCTCGGCCCAAAAGGCCTTTTGAGGGCAACCTAAAATCTGGGTTGCCCTGAAAACAGCAGCTAACATTTCTCACCCCTCTGGAGAAATCAGAATTTGTGGAGTTTAAAACCTGAGGAAATGCTGGAGAAGCCAGAGGCTTCCCGTCTCAGACCACAGGGAGATGGCAAATGGATGCGGAGATTCATCCCCCTTGGAGCTCTTCTGCAGCCAAATGTTTTGGTGCATTTGGGCAGTAGACTTTGGACTCTGGGAAACCTGTAGGTTTTAACAATTAAGGGGTGGCGGAAGAGTGCGAGTGCCCTGACCGGGGTGCCATTTTGTTGTGCAGACAAATTTGATGACTCCTTGATAAGACACCAGGTGAAATACCTGGGTTTAATGGAGCACCTTCGGGTGAGGCGAGCTGGCTTTGCTTACCGTCGGAAGTACGAGCACTTCCTGCAAAGGTGAGGTTCCTCTCCACTCCCCCACCCCACTCATTGCCATGGCTTCAGTAGGAACTGAGAACACAAGAGGGAGGGCCTTCTGGTTTCCCCCCAGCCCCAAAACATTCTGCTGGAGATTGGATAGCTGACTGGCACCCTTCATTTAGTAACTTGTTAGGAAGACCGAGGCCGCCTGTGGAGCTGTGTTGTTGTCCCTTTGCCGTGAGGTTTATGGAGAGGAATTGGAATTGGCATCCTCTAAACAAGCTTTGCCCATAATCGTGATTTCTGGGGTGGGGGACACCTGGATCGAGAAGGCGGGGGTTTAGCGTAAGTTCTGTGCTGGGCAGAATTGATTGTGGGACTCCCAGATCCCTTCCACGGTTTGGAATCCATTTCTCCTGACTGATTCCAGGTACAAGTCTCTCTGCCCGGATACCTGGCCCCAGTGGCGGGGCCCTGCAGCCAAGGGAGTGGAGAAGCTCATCCATCACATCGGCTACAAGCCCGAAGAGTACAAGATGGGAAGGTAGAGGAGAGGCCTGCTGGGTTTGGGACCGATTCATGCGGTGGCTCCCTACGGCTCACCATTAAAATGCAGCTTCTGTCTCATTCAGGACCAAACTCTTCATTCGTTTCCCGAGAACGCTGTTTGCCACTGAAGATGCCTTTGAATATAGAAAAAACCTCCTGAGTATGTGCTGGGACCTCTCTGGGTCATGCCCAGATCTTTTTCGACCTGAACGTTGTCTTGATGAGGAAGTCATCCTCTGAAGGCCCTGGATGACCTCCTCAAAAATACAACTTCTTGGTGCAAATGTTCTAAAGCTGCAGGAAATCCCTGTTGGGCTCTCTAGTCCAGCCCTTACCTTCCTTCCCAGCTTTGGCCAAACAGAAGTCTCCGGGGTTAGCATTGCAAGCCAATCCTCAGGCCTATTTAGGAATAATTTTGGGGTGGTCTTCTTTGCGTTAAGATGGTCCTATGCTCAATCTCTAAAGAAGCCAGGTAGCTTGGATGGGAAAGATATCCAAGAGCTACTTACTTCCAGTCCCATTGGAACATAATATTGTTGATGCATCACAATTCTTGATTCAATTTCAAAGAGTATTCTAGGCTAGAAAGTCCCAGGTTTTGTCCCTGGAGTTTGCAGTTAGAAGTTGTGTTTCTGGTAGAGAAAATGGAGTTGTACAGTCTGGCTTAGAAGCCTTTTCCCCACTAGAAGTCACCGAGGGCTCCCCAAAGAGACAGGAGTGACTTTCACCTGGCAAAGGCATCAGGGCCGCCTGCTTTGCTCCCTCTCTTTCAGTTTCCAGAATACAAGCCAAATACAGAGGCTGCCTCGGGAAGCGAGAATTCCAGAAGATGAGGCAAGCCGGTAAGGATCAGTTGGCCGGAACCAAAAACTATCTTGAGCAGATAGTGCTGGTTTCTAAACTCGGTCCCCGGAGACCCTTTGTGAAAACTTGCATTGCTTGCCCTTCGTCTGCTAATACTGTAAGGAGGCTCTCCTGGGTGAGCTGGAGACTCTTTCTGTCTTGCAGCCATCCTGCTGGAGGCAGCCTGGAGGGGAGTCCTGGCACGCAGACTGGCCAAGAAGAGAATGTGGGCAGTTGAGACCATCCATAAGTAAGTTTCCTGCCTCTTCCGCCTGGGACCCTCCCTCCCTTTCCGTTGCCTCTCAGCTCTGAGAAGAAATCAGAGGGGGCCCTGCTCCTTTGGCTATTCCGTGTCTTGCACGGATGTCCGTACACACAGACAATGTCTACCCCTGGGAAGGCTCCTGGGGACGATCAGAAGGATGGTTCTGAATGTTGCTTTTCTCCCTTCTGAAGGTTCTTAAAAGGCTTCATCTACCGCAGGGAGCCCCTGAACGCCGACAACGTGGACTTTGTGAGGTTTGTGCAGTACACCTACCTCATGAAACTCAGGGATCACATTCCAAAGACCGTCCTGGACAAAAGCTGGCTTAAGCCTCCAGAGATCATGCAACAAGTGAGAACGGGCTTGTGGGAAGCCTCCATGTTCAGGGGCAGTCTGCTGCAGAGTCAAGGGAGGAAGCCTCTGGCTTTCCTGTCTGGCTGTGGGTCTCTCTCTAGGCTGCTGGGTGGGGGGCGGAGGGGTTTTTGTTGCCCTACAGATGCTGGGACTCACCAGCTCTTCTGAGGTTAGCTGAGGAATAGTCAGATTGAGAAGGTCTCCTAAACTTATGTCCACATTTGACTTGTACAAAACTGGGGATTGTGAGTTGGAGCACCATCTGCTCCCCTAGGAACAGAGCCCGGGAGCTTCACAGGGGTCTGTGGCTGATTATAGTTTCCATCTCGTGTCCATCTTCTCCCTTTCTACCATCCAGACCTCTGCCCTTCTGAAGACAATCTGCAAAAGGAATCTTGTCCGGAAATATTGTTGTGGAATCACTGTGGAGAAGAAGGCCCAGGTGACAGGGTGGGGCTGCCGTTTCATGGGAGGCTCTTCCAGGTGTCCTGAGGGAGGTAAAGCAGGACATAAGTTCTTATTTGACTCCCAAACAGATGGAGCAGAAAGCTGTCGCCAGTGCCATCTTCTCTGGGAAGAAAGTTGGCTACGTGGAAAGTCTGAACCAGCCCTTTCTGGACAGTCGACTGGGTGAGTAGCTGAGAGTTGGCAGACCCTGCTGAGAACTTGGCTTGATTCAAATGTGAAGGGCTCTCCCTTATTGACTGTCTGGATAAAATTTGGGGGCGGGTTTCAGGGGAAGCATAGAATGGTGGAGTTGGAAGGCTCCCAAGGATCATCTGAGGGGGTCAACGACCCTTCAAAGCACCTGAAACGGAAAGCAGGACAAGAAGCAACGGATGGAAAGTGACCAAGGAGAGAAGCAACTTAGAACTAAGGAGGAATTTCCTGACAGTGAGAACAATTAATCAGTGGAACAGAAGTTGCCTCCAGAAGTTTTAGGTGCTCCATCACTGGTGGCTTTTAAGAAAAAACTGGAGAGTCATTTGTCTGGAATGATGTAGGGTCTCCTGCTTGAGCAGGGGGCTGGACTAGAAGGTCCCTTCCAGCTCTCTCATTCTGTTTTTTTGGTCCAGCAGGAAGAGTAAGTCCTTATTAACAAGTTACTTTAAAGTTGTCCTATAGCTTTCACGAAGTCCTGCGTCGATCTTGAATTGTATATTTTACACTGTAAGGCACTTTAGAAGAAACATTACATGAAATAAGGAAGGGAAAGACTTTCATTATTTAATAAAACTCAAACTTCTGCCCCCTTCTCTCCCAGGTGAGAGCGACCTGTGCCCCAAAGTCCTGCAGATGATCCGCCACGAGAAGGTCCAGGTAAGGCAGAGGATGGCATCCCACAGGTAAGCGGGGAAGAGGTCCCTGCCTCTGATTGTGCAGACCCGGTCCTGCTCTGGTTCTTCAGCTCCCTCTTGTCTCTTGTGCTGCTTTCCAGTATGTCACGCCAGTGGTGAAATACGACCGGAACGGCTTCAAGCCCCGAGAGCGACTGCTTGTCCTGACCCGGGTGGCAGCTTACGTGGTGGAGACGGCCAAGATCAAGCAGAAGATTGAGTACGCCACCCTCAAAGGTAACCTCTGAATTCGCTTTGGCCTCCGGTCCTCGTCCCTGAAGCCGACCTCTTTGCGCCTTTGGGGCGAAGCTCTTGGACACACACACAGGAGGGAGGATTCTGCTCTCAGGCAGGCTGCCAGGGGCCTAGAAGAGCTAGAATTTTTCTCCAAATGAATCAGGAGCTTTGGTCCGGGTGCAGAGCATCCTCATCAATATCTGGAAGGCAGCAAGGCCGGAGAGGCCAGGTGCTTTTCAGTGGTAAGAAAAAGGAAGGGCCGGCTGCCAAAACATCAGGTGCATAGATTACAGGGGTGGGTGGGTGGGAGGGGGCTGGAAAGGGGAGCCTCGGGAACAGGAAGGCTCTGATATGTTGGGAAAAGATGGAAACCAGAGAATTTGTGGTGGTGGAACAAGAACGTAGAGCTCCATCTTTGCAATTTCACCAAAGGCACCTCAGAAAAGAACCAGGGGCGTGAAAGTATTAGCTTAGTTAATGAAAAAACATTCTTTTTTTAAAAAAGAAAGAATAGAAATTTCTTCCACATTTCTATAAAATTTACCCTGTGGGACAAAAGGAGTATTATATGCTTACGTGGTCTCTTGTCCCTTCTCTCTGCAAGGCATTTCCACCAGCAGCCTCAGCGATGGCATCTTAGTCCTTCACGTTCCAGAAGACAACAAACAGGAAAAGGTGAGGGGAATTGGCTGTCCTGGAGACCCTCCCGCTTCAGGACGTGATCAGAAATGAGGGCCCTCCTCCTATCTTCCTTGCAGGGAGATGCCATCCTGCGCTGCGATCATCTTTTTGAGACCGTCACCAAGCTCTGCATGTTAGCCAATAAGCAGGACCTGGTAGCCGTGGTCCAAGGAAGGTAAGCTGGGGGCTGCCTTGGCTTTGGCAAGGGGTGGCAGTCTTGGCAGGCTTATTCTTTTAATACCATTTGAATAAAACCCACTGAAGAAACGTCAAATAATTTAAGGCTTCCCTTTCACAACGCGTAGCAGTTAAAACCTGAATCTTTTTCTCCGTAACTCCTTAAATGTTCCAAAATGTTTGTTTTCTCAACCAAGATCTGTTTTGACTCATAAGGCTTGGTGAGGGGGGAAGACCCTTTGGTCTGTGGCCTGATGCTGCAGATGAGCCCCCATGTCTTCCTCTGCTACCGAGCCTGAGCCTGGCCCTGGGCAGAGGCAGCCAAAGCCACCAGGCTCTGGAGCCCCGGTAGAGTTCCTCTGGTTTTTACCTGTTTTATAATAGCCTCCAGTTCCAGATTAGTCCCGGGAAAGAAGGAACCATGGTTTTCACCACCGGGCAGGAGCCTCACGTCTACAAAGCCAAAAATGGACAACTCACCGTGGTAAGCCTCTGGAGCACATCAATGCAGGGTGCTTTGGGGCATCCGGCCAAGTCTGAATATTATTTCCCTTCCTGGCCAATTGGTATTTTTCCCCTCAAAAAGATGGAAGGAGGTTCCGTTGAGGCAATCTACCTCTGTTAATTCTTTTAGCTAATGCAGTTTGCTTTTTTAAAAAAATGCCTTCCTTTTTTATTTAAAGAAAAGCAGCTCCCATTTCTTCATGCGTCTTTCTTTGGCTGCAGGAGCTTCCCAGCTGGTTGCAGGTTCTCGGAATGTAAAGAAGCTACCTGGAGATAATTCTTTTTGTGTTTAAACCCCAAAGGTGTCGGCCAAGATAAAGTCCTGATGGGGAAAACCAAAACAACCCGTGACTCTGTCTGCTTGAAAAGAAAGTCCCTGAAATCACCCCGGGGGGAGAATGGAGGCGGTCTTCGTAAACCTGTCGGATGCTGATGTGGTCAGTTTGCTGGAGTTCAGGTCATTTGCATCTTTTTTAAAAAAAACACATCGTGAACCATGTCCGCCCATTAATCCTAGGCCCTGTAACAGCCTCAGTGACCCTTTCCCAGAACTGATGCATAGATTGAGGCCTGAGTGTTTCCGTGATCATTTGCTTCAACATTCCAGTTGGCAATAATTTAACCATTAACTGTACCAAACAGCCCCCAGCCCCAGTTTTAAAATGCAGAACTCCAGAAAAGAATCTCAAGAGTAAAAAATGAAGGACTCCAAACGCCGTTTCTGAGCAGGCCTGGAGGAGGAGCAATACGGCCGGCCGGGAAACTGCGCCCTGGGTCTTGAGTGAGCCTGTTTTCAACCAAATCTCTGCTAAGTTCAGAGGGGCTGGTGGGCATCAGCCCCATTTGTGAAATGCAAACTGAGGTTCTTACTTCCGAGACAAGCAAGTCAGTCCCGGAAGGTACTTCTGTTCCTGGAGTTACGACCCCATGTTATTCTCTGTATTAGCAACCTGTGATGTATTTATGAAAAAATAAAAAGGTGAAAGGAAAAATCACTTTCACTGGCCTGGCCTCTCCCTGTCTGCTAGCCACCTCAGCCCAGAGGCATTGTTTAAAACACCAGACAGACCAGTTTCTAAGAACGGTTCCCTCCCTCCCACCCCCTCATTTCTCAGTGGTCTTCTAAGGCCCTCTGAGGACTGAAGGGGGGCCTGCAGAATCGGCCACAACCCACAGACCTCCTTGCGGGGGAAATGCACGGCAAGCTTGATCCTTGAAGTGTCATTCCCAGAGGAGTGCAACTTGGCAGAAGCTTCTCAGCAGCCCAACCTCTGACGCTAAGGACAGGAAACATCTTTGGAGAAAAGTGGCTTCTGGCTCCCAGTAGCTCGTAGTAAAGCTGTGTTCTCTCCCACCACACCCCTTCGTAGTTTCTCTTCTGGCGCTTGTGTCCACGCTGACTGCTCAGTGACAAGCATAGCTGGGTAGGTTAGTGACTCAACAGCACGTGGGAACGGAGCTTCTATCGGAGCTGGCTGCAGGTACTTTCCTGCTTCAGTGCTGTTGCTCACTTCTCTGGTTGACGGGGCATTTGCTTCCTGCTAAAACTCTGATTTTGCTCCCTGACCTCTTTCAAAAGACGCGGAGAGAAGCTGGCAATAGGAAACACAACCAATTTATTTTCCGTATTTAAAACCTGTGTCAAATGCGTAACACTTACACAAACACACACGCCAACAGAGAGGAGGAGGAAGTGATTCTGCAGAGACTCCTTTAAGAAGGCAAGGCTGGGCTTCGAGCGTCAAAGCAGGAGGGGAGGGGGCTTGTTTTTCAACCTGGCTGTTGTTTACAAGACCCGCAGCTGCCTTGAGGCCAGAAAGCAAAGGCACTGCTTGGGAGGGGGGCCGGGGGGGACGACGACGGAGACAACCTTTTCCTTTGGCCAAAACTGTTTTTGGAATTAGGATTGCACAAGGACAGTCTAGAAACCAATGCAGGCACGCGGGTCCATTCTGATCCCTCGCTTGGGGGAGGGGGGGGCTGGATCTAATGCAAATGCCTCACCAGCAGGCTAAAGACACAAACGTTTGCAGCTGCTCTTCTTTCTTGGGTTGGGGTGCTGGTTCTCCCACCCCAGAAACATTTCCTCGCTGGTCCCCTTGACCAATTCGGGCTCAGCAGCCCGGCTGTTCCTTTCCTCTCTACCAGCCTGGACCAGGAGCCCTTCCCTCGCCCCAAGAAGCAGCCAGGAAAGAGGAAACCCAGGGCACCCCACCCCTTCCTCTGGGCCAAAACCTCCACAGAGACGCTTTCCAATTCAGCAGCTCAGGAAGAGACTCACGTGCAACTCTGGGAAATAAATATCTCAGGGAGGCAGCCAAGGAGCCCCTGAACGACTAACAGACCCCCACCATTTTGGTTTGCAGCATCTTTCAACAGTTGCTTTTTGGCTGCTCTGGTTTGCCTCCCTAAACACAAAATAAGCACAAAATAAAACTAACCATCTTTTTCCTTAAATGGAAATGGGAATAAGCCAATTCTGGCCTTTGGTCTGCAGCCTTGAACCCTTTGCAGAACGTCTTAACCCAGCTGATCTCCAGTCAAAACTTAATCTTTGGGTTTCCTGATACTTACGCTCCAAATTACAAATACAGATTTCTGCTATGGAATAAAGGATTGGAAAGATGCAACCGAAATCGATTAAAGAATGGAGGAGCAAAGGCCTTCTCATCCTGCCTGGTGCAGCAAAATCAATTCTGTAGATTCCGGCCAACCAGGCGCCTTGTCCCCTCCATGTGGGCTTCGGGGCGGTGGGAATGGCACACGGTATGGAAGCCCCAGACAGAAACGGCCAGCTGTTCTCCCTTCTTGGGCCCCTTTTCCAATCCGAGGTGCTTCAGTGCCTCTTCTGGACTCCAAGGGGCCAAGAGAAGACGCCTAAGGGGCCTCACTGCTGGGGCACAATCTTTGCAGGGCCTCAGGACTTTCACTCTACCCATCTGCAAAATGGCTCCTAATTTAGACGGTACAGCCGGGCTGAGCCTGCTGGTCCCAGAATATTGGCCTCTGAATGAAGGAGACCGAGTCACACACGGACACGGCAAGAAGGTCATTGCTGGGAAGATGAAGCCTTTGGTCTTGGATCAGAACGTGGGGCTGGTGAATGGGGAGGGGGCGATGAGAAAGGCGGCCACAGGTGTGCTTTGCAGCATCTACTGAAGGCAAGTTGGGAACCGGCATCCTTGGGGAGGAAAGTGAAGGAAACGGGATGTTCCTGCCTGGCCCTACCACTGTTTGTCCTCCTGCAACGGGACGGAGCACCTCCCCCGGCAGGCCCCCTTCCCATCCCCCCTTTGGGTGGCCAGGAGGTTTAGCCACAGCTTTTCTCCCTGGGAATGAAGGCTCATCCGGAAGTCTCCCCTGGAGGAGCCCACTCGACCGAGAGGCTGGAGCCAAACGGAGGCTGCGTGGTCCTACCCAAAACAGGCCGGAAAACAGGCTGAATTCAGAAGTGCTGCAAAGCCCGGGACCTGCACCCGAACTCGGCCACAGTGGACAATCCATTTGGGTGCCACACGCTGCATCGTTGAATACCAAAAATACTCTAGGTAGAAAAGGACAGTCCAGGCAGCAAGCCGGAGGCCGGCTGAGTCGCAGGGAGGGGGCTGGCCCACCGCAGCCCCTCACTGGTGCATGTGAGTGCGGTCGTCGGGGCGCTTGATGTGGATCCGGCGGACCCTCTCGATGCGCTCGCGCTCCTCGTCCTCCTCCAGGTGGTGGGAGCGCCCGGCCGCCCCCCCGGTGGCCTCCAGCAGCGCATTGTCGGGACCGCGGCCATCCTGAGCTTCGTAGAGCAGGATGTTCAAGGTTTCCTCGTAGATTCGGGCTTCTGGGAATTCAACCTGGAGATGCCAAAGGGGGTGGGGGGGTTAGACATACCCCCTGCACGATCTTTTCTGAGCGGGGTGGGGGGTGCAGAGGGAGCCAGCCACTCACTTTGGTCTGCTTCTTCTCGGTGGCGTACACAATCGAGGTGCAGCAGACTTCCGCGATCTTGCGTCCCTGGCCGTAAAACGACCAGCAGCAAATCTCGTCTCCCAGCACGTCTTTGATGAAAAGGACCCTCCCGTTGAAGCGCAGGGAGAGTTTGTCGAACAGCTCAATGTTCTTCAGCATGTTGTCGTCCGAATTGCTGGTGGGGGGCAAGGGACCCAGAAGGGAGAGATGGGGCAGGGCTATTAATTAGCCAGTCCCTCCCCTCCTTTCCGCCTAACAGGGTAACTGCCCCCTTCGCCCCCTCTCTAAACTCTCCTCTCCTTGGTACTGAAAATACTTTACCTGGTGTAGGAATATTTGTTATTGCTTCGGTTGTACAGCAATTTAACTGCCGGCTGCAAAAACACAGAAAGCAGATAGCGGCCTTAGTTCCATGGGTCACCACTAGGTGTTGAAGGCAAGCTGGTCCCCTACAGGGGATGGTTGGAACTGCACAGGTAAACATCTGGAGACCAGCTGTCCTCCCCCCCTCCCAGAGTTGGCCACTGTGAAGATCTGGTGGAAGGGGAGAAGCCCTGGGGGGGAGGAGAGGATGACCATTCCTCTCCCAGCTCCAAGGGGAGACAGAGCCACTAAGAGTAAGTGGAACATTCCCGCCCCCCAAAGCTTCAGAATCCCCCTTTAATGTGAGGTCTTTTACCTTGTTGGACGTGGCTATGAGTTTCTGCTCTTCCTTGGAGGACGTGATGATGGGCACTTTGCAAAAAGGCTCATAGACATCTTTGTTCTGTGAAAAGAAAAGGACGGATTGGAAGGGAAGCAAAAGATCAGGCAGAAGCCGACCCTTCCTTACAGTGGATAAGTCCTCCCTTCTCTGGCCAAGCTCAGGAATCTTGACAGACTCTGCGGCTTGCAAAGGTTTTCTTTTAGAATAGTATTTTCCAACCTTAGCAACTTTAAGATGGGTAGACTTCAATGTCTTCAACGGAATTGAAGTCCACCTGTCTGAAAGTTGCTAAGGTTGGGAGACAGTGCCTTAGAAAGCACCAATAGCAATACAGAAGGGAGGTTTTATTTTTATTTTATTTACTTTTATTAGTCACATTTCTATGCCGCCCACTCTCCGAGGACTCTGGGCGGCTTACACCAAAGACAGTATACTAAATAGCACATTGCCCCCAACAATCTGGGTCCTCATTTTACCCACCTCAGAAGGATGGAAGGCTGAGTCAACCTTGAGCCGGTGAGATTTGATCCTCTGATCTGCTGAACTAGCAGTCAGCTGAAGCAGCTGCAGTACTGCACTCTAACCACTGCGCCACCTCGGCTCAGGTGGCTGCAGTTCCTCCTTTTGCCTCCCTCCACCCCTTCCAGGTGGGAACCTCATCCACTCCCCATCAGAGAGGTCCATGGGGGGCAGCAAAGTGGGGAAAGGCCGGCTCCAGAGCACCCACAGGAGATTTACCTGAAGGGCAGCCTGGCACTCATCCACCAAGCCTTGCACCAGGTAGTACTTGGCCTCGGCCAGCAGCTCCTCAATCTCTCGCCGGCTCTCCGGGAGGGGCACGGCGCCATCGCGCAGGTAGTTTAAAATGGTTCCAAAATGCTTGCCACACCTGTCTATCAAAATCCAGCCTAGGAAGAGACAGAAAACGCAGCCATGATCGGAAGGAATGCAGAGTCCGAGCTAACCCTAATCCTACCCCTGGCTTGTTTAACTCTGAGCAGTTCGGCTTCGTCATGCGGCCGGCAGCCTCAAAAACAGCCAGCTCGGAAGAGGCCAGCATCTCACACAAGGGCGCCAGTTTCCATGAGCTCAACTTCTTTGTGGGCAGAAACACAAGAATGTTAAGGGAGGGGAGACGATAAAAAATGCGTAAGGACATTGACAAATAAGGGCAATGCTGGCTGAAGAATGCAAGGGCAGTCTTAAATTAAGGGACTTAAACAGCTAAAATCGGATTAAGCTCTCAATTCTGCAAGCTGTGAATTTCATTCCAATGGAATCAGAAGTCTTTTTTTTTTTTTTTTTGGAGTCAAACTGTAGTAACCTTTTGACATTTGAACCTGTTCATTCTTCTTAGTTTAAAATCCTCAAACGCGAACGGTTTAAAAATCTGTTGAATTTTGAGATTTTCTTGTCCCAGTTTCCTTCATCAATTTTCAAATGATCATAACAATTCAAACAGTTCCCTTGAGATTGTGCAAAGGTATCGTCCACAGGTGTGCTGCTTAATTCCCTACTTTGCTTTTATGGCAAAGTAAAGCTTCAAACACCCGTCTCCTCTCCTTTCTCACTGCTGCCAGTGAGTGGGAAGCCCCCCCCTTTCCTCCTGCTGTGCCACTCAAAAACAGACTCTACTCTGCAAAGGCAAAAAGCTGCTTTTTCTCCCAACGGAGTCTCAAAAATCACACTGATTGTGCAATCGTTGGATATGAGATGGGCAGCAAATAAATTTCATAATAAATAAATTCAGATCACTCATTGGAAGCCCTTCTGGCCGTTTGTGTCTAGGAGGAACTGCAGCAGGAGTTTAATCACAAGAACGGGGCAGGAAAGCCCACCCTGCGAACGGCTTCTCGTCAAACAACGACCGGTCAGCCCACGAAGCCAATGGCAGCGCCTGTCTCATGGGGTCTGCTTGCAGGCTTCTGCCGCCTCCTGGGGAAGTCAAGGGGGCAGAGAAGCGTGACCTCCGAGGAGCAACCCGAGGCTCAGAGCGATTCCGGAAGCTGGCAGGCCGTTCTGGAGGGTGACCAGAAGCCCACTTGACCCCAAAGCCCCCCCTCCCTTGCAGAGCCGACCCCGGCCCCCGTTTCTTTTACCTTCGCTGTCCGTGAGGACCTCCATCCGGCCACTGAACATGGCCTTCAGCATGGTGTCCTGCTTGGTCAGCGTCTGCATGGTGGTGTAGTACAAGGCCCCGCCGATGTTCAGCTTCACATACTTGGAGCTGGGACTGCCGCTTTTGAAGGAGGTGGTGCGGGTGGTGGCTGCTGGCACGGCGGTGCTCACCACTGTCTCTCCGGACATCTCTTCCTGGAAGAGCAGAGAGCCTCAGGGAGAGCCCAGCACCTTCCCAGGGGCAGGAGGGGACCGGCCCAGGGGCTCAGGGTGGCCGCGTGGGGGCGGGGGGGTCCAGAGTGAGAGGCAAGGGCCTGTTTTACACCTTCTCCAGGAGCAGAGCAGCTTCTCTGGAAAGAGCCCCGGGCCCTTCAGAGGGCAGGAGGGGAAAAGGCCCCCCGGGCTCTCCCCAGGGGGCGACTTTCAGCCCAGGCGCTCTGGGAGGTCAAGCCCACCAGCCTTCAGGTTGCCCACTGGGAGAGCCCAGCCTCAGAGGGAGGGGGGAGGGGGCAGAGGGCAACTGGCCCTCCCCGCCTGAGACCCTCCCAGGCTCCCCTCGGACCTCCCTCCCCCCCCCCCTGCAAGTAAGGAGGCCCCCCCCCCACTTCCCCCCCTCCTCCTCCTCTCCCAGCACCGGCCCCGCTTCCTGGCTTCCTGGCTGGGCCTTGGGGTCTCTCGGCCGGCCGTTAAGCGAGTCGAGCTCCCCTCCGGCCGCAGAGGCGAAGCCCCCGTTTCCTGGCCTGCCATTCATTCCTCCATTCCGCCCGCCTTCCCGGCGCTCTGGGCGGAGGGGCCTCTCGGGGTCGCCCCCGGGCCGGAGATCCGGAGGGAGGCCGGGCCGAGCAGGGCAGAGGGCGGGGGGTCCAGGCTGGGCGGGCGGGCGGGAGGAGGAAGCGGCTGGGCGAGGCGGCCTCCGCGGAGGAAAACCCCGGAAAAAGCGAGCGACTCCCGCCCTGCCCGCCCCCTCCCCGCGGGGACCGACTGGCTGCCCCCCCGGCGCCCCCCCGGGGCCCCCCCCCCCCCCCCCCGGCCCCCCCCCCCCCCCCCCCCCAAAGCCCCCCCCCCCCCCCGGGAGCCCACCCGCCAAGATTGGCCCGCCTTCCCCGCCGGGAGGGGAGACCCCCGAAAGGGAGGGGAAGGGGAGACGGGATTTCCCCCCCCCCACCGGCGCCCCCTCCTCACCATGAACAGCCCGCGCGAGGCTCCCTCCTCCCCTCGGCCAGACGGTCCTCCTGGGCGGGGCAAGGAGCGGATGACGCAGAGCGCGATGGGCGGGGCCTCTCCCCGCCCCGCCTCTCCTCCGCAGGTCGGAACTCGGTCTCGCGGGGCGCGTTTCCGGGCGGGCCGCGGCCTTCGGCGGTGCTTCCGCTGCAACGGCCGGAAGTGGTCCTGTCGGCGTGGCTCTATGGTCCTCGGAGTTCCGCGGGCGCTCGGCGGGGGGAGGCCGAGGGATGGGGGGGGCGCGCCGTCGAGGGCCTCGACCCGTAGCAGTCCCGCAGCCCGGCCGGAGCCCCCTCGCCCTTCGCAGGCGTCGCCGCCAACACGCCCCCTGCCAGGTAGGACAGGCGGCGCTCCTCTCGCGCGGGAGCTCCCTCTCCTGCCTCGGCGCCCCCGAAGGGACCCGGCTCGGGCCTGTCCCCCGGCGGACCCAGCAGAAGGGCTTCCGGGGACCCCCAGGAGACCCCTCCCCAACTGGGCTGGCGGGGGAGGGGAGAGAGTGGCGTGGAGAGCTGCCCTTCCAGAGCCCCCCCCCAGACTCCCTTGCTCTGTAGGTCAATCAGGACCCTCTTCTATCCCCTTCCTTCCTTCCTTTCTCTCCCTCCCTCCTCCTCTTTCCCCTTCCTTCCTTCCTTCCTTCCTTCCTTCCAGCCTCTCCAACTGATGCGCCCATCGAGAAGCAGCAGCGTTTGGAAGCAGCCAAGAAATGTGATGAGAAGCTGCCTGGCATGAACTTGTTGCTCTCTCCAACAGCCAGAAGAAGCTGCAGTTTGGAGCGAGCGTGAACCATGTTTGTCTACGGGTGACCTCCAGGCTCTTCTGCAAAACACACCCGCCTGGGTGAGCCCCTCACCAGAGCCGCCTGCCTTTCCGCCGGGGGACAGTCCGAGCAGTCTTCCCTGGACCCGCATGCAAAGGTTTTGGTGCTCCTGCTTCAGGTCTTCCCTTCCTTGTCTTTTGTTTGCAGAGGCCAAAATGTTCAGCGCAGCCCAATCATCCAAGGCCGAGTTCCTGGACAAGGCCCGGCAGGCCCGGGAGGAGCGCCGGGAGCAGAAGGAACGTGAGCAGGCTGCGGTGCGGATCCAGGCCCTCGTCCGAAGGTTTCTGTGCCGCTGTCGGCTGCAGCGGAAAATCAGGTGTGTATAGCTATGGATACAATGAAACTTTACCTGTGGCAGGTACCTGGGCATATGGAAAAGTTGTCTGTTGCCATCTGAGAAATCCTCCGGTCTCAGAACAAGAGGCCTGGGAGGTAATCTGAGTCAAGGTACGGAGCCCCAGCAGCTTGCTGGGTTTCCGTATCCAGACTCAACGCCTTGCCTGCTGCACTAGAGGCACCTGTTGCTGGGACTTCCTTGTTTCTTCTCCTCTTTGGCCCAGGAGCGAAGTGGATAACTTCTTTCACACCAGCGGTCCTGCCAAGAAGACAGCCCTTTTGCTTTTTAAAATCTCCCGAAAGCTGCTCTTTATTATCAGACTCCCTCAGGACAAAGAGGTACAGCCCCTGTGGCTCTTTTGCAGACCTGTCTACTCAGTATTGGTGGGGAGGGGGCATCTCTAGGGGGTGGGTCCCTTGGTCTCCCAGTTCTGGGATGGAGGAATCCCTCGTGGTAGCCCTTGGACAACAAGCAAAGAAAGGAAGCAACGTCAGAAGCTTTCCATAGTTTTAAATAGCCATTTAAATTTAAATGGCTATTTAAATTTAAAAATATAAATTTAAATTTATATTTAAATTTAGTTCTGGGGAATCGGAAGTAAAGGTGGATTCTGGCAGTTTGGTAAAGGCTGATCTCATCTTACCTTGAGTCTGTTTTTTGCTCTCTGTAGAGATTTGAAAAGCTGTGCCGCTGCATCCTTAGCAGCATGGAGGCGGAAAACGATCCTAAGGTAAGCGGGTTCCCTTTTCACGAGAGGAGGGGGCATCAGTGTATTTGGCTATATATTTTGCCAGAACCAAAAGAGAAGCAAGGAACGCTTTCCATGGCAAAATCACTGCTACAGCTTTTCCTGGGGCTATTTGTGGCTGTTTGGAGAAATTTCTTTGTCTCAGTGGCTTCACAAGAGGGAAAGAAAGTTCCTCTGAATTGCAGGATGGCGGCATTTTGTCCTTTTACCTCTTAATCCAGTGAACGGAGGGGGACTTTCCCCCACAGGGCCAGGTTACTTTTGTGGCCCTTTCGTTTTGCAGGTGTGGTACGTATCCCTTGCACTCTCCAAGGAGCTGACTCTCTTATGGATCCAGCAAGTGAAGGATGTGCTGTGGATTTGCTGTGAATTTCTGAAGCTGCTCAAGGTACAGACAGGTCCAGTTTCTGTGGCGCAGATTTTTTAGGGGTATTCCCCCCCCCCCCCGCTCTTAGCTTTGTAGCATGTTTTCTTTTCAACTTTCTGGGGGTTCATTTTTCTAGCCAGACATCTTGCAAGATTCAAAACTGGTAAATTTGCACCTCACAATGCTGGTGACTTTTACGGACACCTCTACCTGGAAAATCCTGCAGGGAAAAGGTACGTTTGCAGGATTCTGCCTCTAGATACTGCTTTGTTTGCCCAAAAAAGTGCCACTTGTTTCTTCTTTTTTATTAGCTTTGTCATATTGGCTTGCCAAGGGTGATTTGACCCGACTGCAGAGAGTGGCTGTTTGGCATCTTTTTCTTATATAAATTATGTAGCATTTGAGCCACCAGTCTCTTCTCTTGAGAGTGAGGGTTAAGCTAAGACCTTTTTGCTTGTGTTGGGAATTTTCAACTTGACGGCTTATTTTATGTCCTTGTTTTTAACCTTTGCTGATTGAATTTTTTAAAAATATGTTTTAAAAAATATTTAGCCTAATGATGTCTCTTAATCTGTTCATCAAAGTATAAATCTTAGAGGCTGGGGCGGGGGGGAATTCAAGTAGACCAGACCTCTCAATTGGTTCTAGTTGCTGAAACAAACCCCCTCCCTGCCCTCCCCCAGCTTTGGGGAGCACTGAATGGGAATGAGGTGCCTGGCCACGAAGGGAAGCGTTGCAGCTGAAACCTTCTCTCTGGATCCTTTTGCAGGAGAAGCCCTGCGCCATGCTATGAATCACATCTGTGCAAATATCATGGGCCACCTCAACCAGAAGGGGTTCTACTCGGTGCTTCAGGTTTGTTGGGGTCTGGTTGCCATTGCTGTAAATTTCTCTGTGTGAATCTCCTTGCTGGAAAAAGAACGGAAAGAGCTTTATGGGGATTTTTTCCATCTGCTCATCTCTGTTTCGTGGCACCCAGTTGTGATTTCTTCATTTAGGACAAGGGTCTCCAACCTTGGCAACTTTAAGCCTTGTGGACTTCAAGTCCCAGACACTGGGAATTCTGGGAGTTAAAGTCCACAAGTCTTAAAGTTGCGAAATGGAGACCCCTACTCTTGACCCTTAAATGCAATTTCAACTCTTTTTTTTTTTCTCCAGATTTTGCTGACAAACGGCTTGGCAAGGTCTCAACCTTCCTTCTCCAAAGGCACCTTAACAGCAGCTTTTTCTCTTGCCCTGCGGTAAGACAAACAGCTGAAGCTGCGACTCAGTCCGGGTCAGGAACCCTTTAAGTGGTAGCGCTCTGAGCTTCTTAAAACCCTTGCGATGTTTTTCTCTCCCTCAGCCCGGTGGTTGCGGCTCAGTTTTCCGACAATCTCTTGCGATCCTTCTTGATCCACATCATGTCCGTGCCAGCCATCATGAGCCATCTTGCAACACTTACCCCGGAGGTAGGCAATTCCTGTCCAGGCGAGAAGAAAAGAGGAGGTGACTGGTTTGAAACCTCCTTTTTCTAGGATTCCAGAATGCGCCTGGTTGTCCTGCATCCTCTCTAGCAGGGTTTGTCAACCTTGGCAACTCTAAGACATGTATGTGGACTTCAACTCCCAAACTTCCCAGCCAGCAGAGAGCTTGGGAGTTGAAATCCACAATCTTGGAGTCGCCAAGGCTGAGAAGCCCTGCTTCGCAGAGTTGTTCAGGCCGTCTGGATCGTCCTCGATATCCCTATAAATCAGAGTTGGGGCTTTTCAGGAGGCGTGAAAAGGAGTGAGCTGCTTGCATGCTGCTGTACAGAAAAGCCGGCAGGAAATCTTAAGGACATGTTTGTTTCCCTTTCTTGGCCAGAGCCAATCAAACAGAGTAAACTTTGAAAGGCCTGGGGAGCTAAGCTTGCTCCATCAATGTCTGCTTTCCTTTCAGCGCCTGGCAGTGATGGAGTCTCAGGATCTCCTGCGCAAGTTCCTGCTGTTTTTGAGCCGGGAAGAACAATGCAGAGATGTCTGCGTGTGTCTGGAAGGAAGCCACACGCTCTGCCTTCTGGGTAAGATCCCCAGATGGCATGATGCCAGAGTTTGCACTCCGCCTGCAGAGGAAGGCAGAGGGGCTCTCTAGGAATTAGGGAGACCAAGTTGCCCTCCAAAGAGAGTTTTCTCCCTCCTCCTAAAGTCCAGGCAGGATCCGGCCACAAGTGTCCCTTTCACAGCCACATTTGTGATCTTCTGCGCAGACTCTGTCCCTGCCCTTGGGTTCAAACCGACGCAAGACTTCTCCCAGCCCAGTTGTTGCATGCAGGGGGCAGGCTTTGGGGGCCGGGGTGGGGATTGGGGCAGAGTTCCCCCCCTTGCCCCAGGGCTGATTTGAAGGCTGTGGCGGCTGCTGTTTCCCAGGCAACCTCATCTACTTGGGTTCGCTGAATGAGAAGGTGCTGCAGGAGGAGACGAGCCCCTTTGTCAGCGTCCTGACCCACATGCTCTGCTACTGCCAGAAGTACGTCTCGCAGAAGAAGTCCAACCTCACCCACTGGCACCCGGTCCTTGGCTGGTTCTCCCAGACGGTGGATTATGGGTAAGCATCACTAATGAGACCTGGCGGGGGGTGCCAGGCCTTGAAAATGCAAACGTCTTTGAAATACGTTCACCAGAGCATGCTGCCTTGGGGTCCCCCCCTTCTTTTTCTAACTTTGGGACCCGCTGGAGGTGCTGGGTTTGCCCCTCTCGGTTCCTGGCCACAGCTGCTCCTTCCTATCCTCTTCCTCCCCTCTCTTCCCCCCAGCTTGAACGAGTCAATGCCGTTGCTCACCA